CAAACTGGGAGAAATGAGGATAAAATCTGATGCAATTGGATTATAAAGAAAATGGAGGAACATAGTAGAGGTGTGCATTGTCTTGAGTCTGAAGATACAATACATACCACGATATGCATGTTACGATTCAATATGTCCCAATACTAAAACATAGGAGGATATATTATGATTTAACAATATTTATTTCTATTAATACAGTTAATTGCACCTTCACGAGAACACACCTGTATGAAATATAATTATAAAAATGTTTAAATCATCAGAACAGTGAATGTAAATAATGAAAATCTGTAAAAAATATTATTTAAAAAATCGATTCAGATGCATTTTGAATTGATTCGAGAATTGTGCAATGAAGTATCACGATATTAGCCTGATTCACCAGCTGGTTTCACTTCATGGAAACCGTTTGACCTCACACCATTAGAATTCGTTTGCTTGATGGTAGGCGGATACTTTTTTTTATTTAACCAATCGCTGCTGTTTGGTCGTGATGTATGAAATGTGCCGTTAACGGGGCTAACTGGGATATTAAGAGGAGGCACAAGGTGGCAGGTGGCTATCACGATATATCACTGAATCCATGTTTTCCTAGAACATAGGGCCTAATTTTGGAAAGAAAAAAAAAAGTAGATTGATGGAATATAAGGTTGAGGGAACATAGGCACACTCATCAATCATTTAGATAATTTCAGATCTGGAATTTCCAATCTTTTGTTCAGTAGAGATTGGAAATTCCAGATCTGAAATTATCCAAATGATTGATGAGTTAACTTGAAAAACACCGCTTTACAACAGCACAGGTTCAACAGAGCATTTGAGCTTTAGAGATGTAAACAGACTAATAACACAGGATTATCTGTGTATCTAAATGAAACAAAACACAACTCCAGGCATGTTTTTGATGAAGTAACAACATTATAACAAGATTTAAAGTTCACAAGAGTCAATTCACTAGCAAGGACCGCGCCACAACAATGGAACACGATAATGATATTTATTGGAGGTGGATAGACGTGATGGCTGGAGGGAGGCTCAGGGTGGGGGTACGATCTCCAATCTAAAATGGTCACCCAGCTGCTTGAAGATGCTGCGTTTGGGCTGAAGGATGGACAAAAGACAAGGGTTGGAGGGAGGGGGTCGAGAAAGCTGACGCGGAAGATGTTGTCGGGATAGGCCGTATAAAAAGGACTTCTGGGTATTTGAAGGTGTGGTTGAGATAAGCCGTGAAGGTTGAGGTGTGGTCCAGCTCCTGAATCTCAGTTAATCATATTAACCCCACTTTTGCGTAACATAGGACCTTTCAGTTGCAGAACATCCAGAACGCTGCAGCTCAGGTCTTTACTCAAACTAGGAAGTACCAACACCTAAGTCCTGTGCTCAGGTCTCTGCACTGGCTCCTGTGGCTCAGAGAATAAACTTTAAAGCAGCTCTGCTTGTACAAGTCTCTCCATGGCCGAGCACCAAAGTCCATCTGTGACATGTTAGTGTCATATGAACCATCTCACACTCTGAGGAGCTCAGGGACCGGCCTCCTGCTGGTGCCCAGAGTCACGACTAAACAAGGGGAGTCAGAGTTTCAGGTTCATGCAGCTAAAACCTGGAACAGTCTGAACATGTGAGACAGACTCTTCTGTGACGCTGTTTAAATCCAGACTCAAAACATTTCTGTTTAACTGTGCATATAACTGAAAGGTTTTCATTCTGCACTCTTCTCTCCAATTTATGTCTCTCTTTTTTCATTTTAATCTTCATGATTATTTATGTTTTGATTTGTTTTTATTATGATTTTAATGTATTTCTTATTTTGTAAAGCACTTTGAATTACTTTGTGTACGAATTGTGCTATAAAAATAAACTTGCCTTGCCTTCAGTTGCTTTAGGTCAATATTGCGTTGTTTTTGAGGTAATTTTCAATTGTATTGACACTTTGCAACTGATGTCGTCACTGATGCTAACTGTAAGCTCTGCTCTGTCTGAAGCTCTGTTACTCAAGTTAGACACAATCTGACCATAAAGAACTGACTTAGCTGGAACTACTTCAGGTGAGATGATTTGTGAGCTTAAACAAGTCTCTCTCACACATAAAATGTGTTACAAGCTAGAATTGGCCAACAGTTTTTCAGTCACTCTCAGCTTTTCTGTTGAAAATCAAACACCTAAACAGGACCATAAACACTTATATGTATCATCACAGACTCCTGAAAATGAGTTGTTTGATTCCATATTGTGTGTTTTCTTCAGTTTTCAGGCAATCTTAGGTTATGTTTAAATGATGATGGTCTGAACAGAAGATGCAAAGGTGGCGTCGCGTCTTCACTTTTTATTCCACATTTAGACGAGCGTTTTTGGGAGGAAACCTGCGTGCATACGGTGACGCAGAAGTGTGTGGAATTCAATTGGGGATGCTTGTCAGGTGGCATTCACTTAACGCAACAAGGGCATCTTTTGACAAATGGAAGTTTTCACACCACGCATTTTCATCAGCTTCTCCTTTCACAAAGTTGTCCCACCATCGACTGGTTCTAAAGGGCTCGTCTGACTCGCCTGCGACGAACTGGCGCATCCAGAATTTGACGGAGGTGATTGCAGATCCTTCTCTGTTCACTAATAGTATCTCTGCAGATTCTCTACATTTGCTGGTGCCTCATGTAAGTTTATTAGAGCTGCCACAGCAACTTGAAGGTTCGATGCACGGAAATGATCCAACATGTTTGTTTCTGTGTACTGTATGTATGCAACGTAAACACATACGCGACGTGAGCAGGTCTGACCAGAGTTTTGCGTCTTGGGCAGTGCAGACTGAAATGCTACGGTGGAGCGTATTCAGCTTGGTTTCAGATTTTTGTGTTTTTAAGCCCCAAAAACGCCGTCTCCGTCTAAACGAAAGACACTTCTGATAAATTATTTTGTCGTTTTTACCTGCAAGCACTGTCGTGTAAACTTTCATGACAGTCTTTGCTGATGTGTGCATAGTGTAACCATGGTAACTAAGGTTAGGTATCGTTAAGAAGTCGCCAATACGATACATAGCCCACGATGCGATACATATCTCAATACAGTGCACTTTTGATTCGATATGATATATTTCAAATCAATCTGATACAGTTCACTAAAAATAAAGGCTAAATCACGGCTGTGATACTAAAAGTCTTTGTTAAACCACTTCTTGTGCAAAGTGAAAATGAAACACAAACATTTTAATCCTCAAAACTGTGAAAATATCAAATGTGTCACATAAACGAGTTTCCTTCCTCTAAACAAGCAACAAAACTGTAGCTCTGTAACAAAATAATTCAGTAAAATGTACCAAAAAATACTCTTGGCGATATATCAAAACAGCACTGCAATATATCGATACTGTATCATCACATTAAACAATACGATATATCGATATTTCAATATTTTTGCACACTCCTAATGGTAACTCCTAAACACTCCACGATTAGAGATACAAGTAGAACACCCCCAGAGTGATGTCGTTTCAAAGGATCAATAGCAAGGGCCACAAATTTATGTTAAGTTACAGTATATTAAAGTACACAAATCAACTTTACACTTACAATACTCAAAAAAAAAAACGCCTCTGAAGCACACAGACTGGAAAGCTCGATATTGGGAGGGAAGCTAAATTCTATAGTAAATTAAAAAGGTCAAATAACGTATGAAATATGTGACCAAAACTAAATTGACTTCCTACATCGAGGCAGCGAGTAAATGGTTTATAACATGTTGAGGGAAATTAGCTCCAGCAAAACCACTTCTGCGTATACAAATCACCACGGCAACCGAAGCAAAATGGCAGACGCTATATTTTGCACAGGACAAACTTGTCTTGAGGCCAGTCTTCATCTGGGTTGTGCAAGCTCGATGATGAGCGTGTTGCATCTGAAGCATGACAGATTCTATTGCACTGTTTGTGTAACGTCGGACAAATAACATCCAAGCACTCTGAGGATTATGAAAATGAGTGTTGGTAATGTTTTATCTGTCTTATCGAACATGCATTTAAGAAGGTAATTAGGTGATTAAATGCTCAAAAAGCCCACATCACATGCATCACTGAAATCATTTTAATATTTTTTCTCAGATCTGTTATTTAAATTCTCACCCTTTTACCACAAACCTTTGACAGAGCAGTGCAGTCACGTTTTATCTTTTCGCATTAAACTGTTCAAATAAAATATCGGCCTGTGCTGGAGATTTAAGACACAGGGTTCCCACTCTTTTTCACTGACAAAATTTCAAAACTTTTCCATGACTTTTTCATGACCTAAACTGAATTTTCCATGACTTTACAGCACCTACATGTGTAGAATTGATCAGACTTTTAGGGCTAAATATTAAATGTTAACCCTTTGGTATTATAGTTTTTTAACATCTATTACATTTAGTATTTATTACATTTATATTATATTATATTTTATTTTTATATTATATTTATTAGATATTTATTTTATTTATTTGCATTTATTATTTATTTATTAAATTAATTGTATTTAATTTTATGTGTATATTTATATTTATATATATGTATTATTTATTACATTTAGTCCATTTATTGTCGTCTCTTTTAAACAAAAGGCGCATACGTTCAGAAATAATCATAATAGACTAATGAGAACTTAACAGAACGTTGTAGTTGCATGAAAGAGATACTAAAATTCCATGATTTTTCCAAAACTTTCATTGAATTTACATAATTCCAAGACTCTTCTATGCCTGGAAAATGACATTTTCAATTTTCATTACTTTCCAGAATTTCCATGACTGTGGGAACCCTGAAGACAGATATGTTAAGCAATAAATATATATCATTTTATCTAAAATGTTGGACTTGCCAGGTCTAAAACTAAGCAGGAGATACTCAGTCAAAAATCTTTCAGTAGTTGTAGGTAGGACAAAAACTCAAATGCAGGAAACTTTCAGGTTTGACATAATAATCTGCAAAACAGTGGGACATTTTGAAGTATTTCCCATGTGTGGAGTTAGGTACATACCCTGGAATCGGCCCCCGTGCTTGATGACGATGGCCCCCCTGCTCCGGGTCTCCTCCTCGGCCTGGGCCATGCTCTGGATGGCCTTGTCGTACGAGTCCTCCGTGGCGTTCACCGTCATCTTCTTCTGGATCACGCCCAGACACGAGAGCTCCTCTGCAGCCCTGAGGGACACAGACAGGCCCTGTGGTCACATGACGTCCTCAGAAAACCTCAGGGATGCACGAACTCGATGCATGTGATCCATGACTAATCAATTTATGCAATAATCAGCAGACATTTCTTTTACTTTTACTTCTCCATATACTTGTTTACAATGACGCCTTATTTGACACCAGTCTCTTCCTATTTTTACAACTTATTTTGAATTTCTTATTACTATTTATATTGTTTTGTTCTTTGTTATTATATTATATTGTGATGCGTGAGCTCCTGTTTCCAAATAACTTCAATAACGTTTCTTTAAATCTATTAGGGATGCTTCAAAAGGGATTTTTTTGAGCCGATACCGATATCCAATATTTGTCCTACTGCTGTGGCTGATGTCTGATATTTGCTGATACCGATATTTAACTTTTAAAATCAATAGCAAAGCCCACGAATGTATCTTAAGCAAGGGTAGAAAGTCATGAATTACATTTACTCAGGTTACTGTAACTGAGTCATTTTTATGAGTAATTACCTCCGCCAAGGAGGTTATGTTTTTGCCGGCGTTTGTTTGTTTGTTTGTCTCTTAGCAACATAACTCAAAAAGTTATGGACCGATTTTGATAAAATTTTCAGGATTTGTTCGAAATGTGAGAAGGAAGAACTGATTTAATTTTGGGCGTGATCCGGAAGAAATCCTGGATTCTGGATCACTTTGAAATTTTAGTTAACATTGTGGTAAATGGGGCCAAAAATTTTGTTTCTCAATATCTCGGTTAATTATTGACCAAACCCCATGAAATTTGACTCAGGGATGGACAATGGGATCCTCTTTCATATTCCAAAGGCTGATCCGGATCTGATCCAGAAGACTGATTTTATCGCAATTTATATAAAAAATGGGGGTAGTCCTTGGCGGAGGTCTGTGCTCTCTGAGTGCTTTTCTAGTTTTTTTCCTCTATTAATCTGATTTGACTCAGTAACGAGGCCGGGTTCCAGTGTAATGAAGTAAAATCGTAAAAGTAATTATTACCTACTTCAAAAACTACTGAAAATATTACAAACTAGAGGATGTTAACTAAAATTTCAAAGTGATCCAGAATCCAGGATTTCTTCGGGATCACCCCCAAAATGAAATCAGTTCTTCCTTTTCACATTTCCAACAAATCCTGAGAATTTCATCAAAATCAGTCCATAACTTTTTGAGTTATGTTGCTAACAGACAAACAAACAAACAAACAAACAGACAAACAAACAGACAAACGCCGGCAAAAACATAACCTCCTTGGCGGAGGTAATGAGGTTTGTTGTTCGCAGTGAAGAGAGCACAGATTAGTGCTAGAAACTTTATAAATCAACTCCTGCTCAAACTGAACAAGAGCTTTACAGTCTGATGCCGCAGTGTCCAGTGGGCAGAATATTCTGGAGGGCATGGTACTTTTTCATTTTTTATATGAGCATTACTAAATGGTAAATGGTCACATTTTTATACACAGCTTTTCGACCTTCAAGGCATTCACAACAAGGAACAATACATTCATATACCAGTGTAAGAAGCACCAGTACAACATGTTCGTTTTGCATATTTGATTTTGGTTTAATTTTGTTTCTTTTTTATTGTAGTGTTGTGAGTTGGACCATATAATTCAGAATTTATTAAACTGTTAATTTGTTTAATTACAGCAATGGACAGATATAATGGAGGAAATTTATGGGATGGGAAAAATAACCTCTTATTTGAGACTGAAATCTGGTAAATTTGAGAAGCGATGATCAATCAAAACTATTTACAAAGTTCACTACAATTATGAGGTATTTTATTCTCCAATTCTTTTGTAGAACCCCACAGATTGTTTGTTCTTTTATGTACATTTGTTAACATTTCTAAAGAGCACAAAAAAAAGATAATTTGTTTAATTTGTTAAATTTGTTATGCAATTAAAGTTCTAAGTTCTGTAAAGTTCTATAAAAAGAAGGAAGAGCTCAGTGTTGGTAAGTGTTAAGCTCAGTTGTCTTTAAAATGTACAAAGTTTGTCTGTATCACCTAAAAGTCGAATAAAACTACTTGTGCTGGATTAGATTTATGACTCATCCTTTTTTACATCAAATAATTGAAAGTAACTAACTAACTTTTACTCAAATTACATTTTAAATTAAGTACTTTTTTACTTTTACTCAAGTAGATTTTTAGATGGTTACTTTTACTTTCACTTGAGTAGGAATTTTAATAAAAATTTTTCTGTATTTTTTCCACCTCTGATCTTAAGTTGAAGTAAACATGACTAATTCATTTTTCTCTTTTGTAAAATAACAAAATGTAATAACAATATGTATTTACTTACTTAATCATCTGCTACATGTTTGTGTGAAGATAACACAATATTTTAGCAAGATAAACATTTCCAAAACACAAATCATCCAATATTTCTGCACTTTTAAAATGTTACAGTCCATTTACTTTTGTCTAGTACTTCAATATTTGGTTAAAAACATATACAACAACAACAACAACAACAAGACGACGACACAATAAAAACGTTGAACCCGATGACTCATGACAAAGAAGCAGCTACGAAATAATAATTAGCAGAAGCCCGGTAGAAAAATACAAGTGCATTCTGACAAAAGAAGAAGAGTGGACTGGGTCGGTCAATAACAATAAACCATTTTATCTGAAGGTCATTTGTAGTTGAACAGCTTTTGAATACATAACAACACTTTGAACTGGGCACATTTTTATTTGGCCTTTTCCAGAACATCTTACGTAATCTGTTCTGACCCAGTTATGGGAGTTGTCCTCAAAAATCTAATGATTCTTGTACGTGCAAAAGTGGGCTAAAGAGAATAATAACCAGTTCAGAATATCATAGATTATCCTCTTAAAACAGTTTTTTCATTTAATATTTTTCCAATCTTGAGTAATTATTATATGAGACAGTGATCATACCAAGGACAAAAGTGTACATTTTGAGAATATTTACCTTGAGGTTAGATTTCAGACTGAATCAAGTCTGGATTAGTTAGTATTGATTTGGTTTAGTCTCTATTTAGGCTGGACATTTTTTTGTTTTTGTTGTGGTGTCATCTTGGTTTGGTCCTGGTATAGTCCTAGTGGTTTAGTCCTGGTATAGTCCTGGTATAGTCCTAGTGGTTTAGTCCTGGTATAGTCCTGGTATAGTCCTGGTATAGTCCTGGTGGTTTGGCCCCGACTTAGTCCTGACTTAGTCCTGACTTAGTCCTGACTTAGTCCTGACTTAGTCCTGACTTAGTCCTGACTTAGTCCTGACTTAGTCCTGACTTGGTGCTGGTTAGGTCATAGCTTTGTCATGGTTTGGTCCCATTTTGCTCCAGGCTTAGTCCAGGCTTAGTCCAGGCTTAGTCCAGGCTTAGTCCAGGCTTAGTCCAGGCTTAGTCCAGGCTTAGTCCAGGCTTAGTCCAGGCTTAGTCCTGGGTTTAGTCCTGGGTTTAGTCCTGGGTTTAGTCCTGGGTTTAGTCCTGTTTAGTCCTGACTTAGTCCTGACTTAGTCCTGACTTAGTCCTGACTTAGTCCTGACTTAGTCCTGACTTAGTCCTGACTTAGTCCTGGGTTTAGTCCTGGGTTTAGTCCTGGGTTTAGTCCTGGGTTTAGTCCTGGGTTTAGCCACAGCTTAGTCCTGACTTAGTCCTGACTTAGTCCTGACTTAGTCCTGACTTAGTCCTGACTTAGTCCTGACTTAGTCCTGACTTTTGTCCTGACTTTTGTCCTGGGTTTTGTCCTGGGTTTTGTCCTGGGTTTTGTCCTGGTTTGGCTCTGGTTTTGTCATAGTTTAGTTATGCTTTGGTCCCGTTTTAGTCCAAGTTTGGTCCAGGCTTAATCTAGGTTTAGTCCAGGTTGAGTCCAGGTTGAGTCCTGGTTTAGTCCTGGTTTAGTCCAGGTTTAGTCCTGGTTTAGTCCTGGTTTAGTCCTGTTTAGTCCTGTTTAGTCCTGTTTAGTCCTGGTTTAGTCCTGGTTTAGTCCTGGTTTGGTTCAGGTTTAGTCCAAGTTTAGTCCAGTTTTAGTCCTGTTTTAAATGTCTCTTATTTAATATTTTTTCAGTCCACCAGGTTGACTGGATGAATTACACGTCTGTTAAAGGAAATGTGTTTTGCAAAATCAACTTTTCAGAACTTTTAACGATGTTATAATTGTTTCCTCTTCTCATTTTCCCACTTGCAGATGTATTTACAGTGATTCATGCGGTGAATCACTTTTTAATCTGTGATACACGTCGGCTTCGGCGGCGGCGCGGAGCCATTTTGGTACAAATGGAAAACACAGCATGTGGTGCGCTGTAGCGATGTTTATGGTAAAGGAGCAAGTGGGATGTGATTTTTTTAACGAGGAAATCAGTGCACTTGTATCTTTTATTAAGTCGTTTTAGATCAATATTGTGATTTAAAAGATCCAAAATACAGAAAAATAACATGTTTCTTTAAGCATATTAGGCTATTTTCTATGTTATAATGTTGTTTCCTCATCACAAACTTACAGAAACTGGAGTTGTGTTTTGTTTCATTCACATGTGTTTACCACAAAAACCCTGCATATCTGTTCCACCTTGTGATGTCATGTGGTAAAACAGGAAGTGCTCCACTGTGTTTTTATCTCCACACAGCTTCAATAGAATCATCTGGATAATTTCAGCTCTGGAATTTCCCATCTCCACTGAAGAAAAGATTGGAAATTCCGGCGTTAACTTTAAAAAAATACAGTTTTATGACATCACAAGGTGTAACGGGGTATTTTGAGGTTTGGAGATGTAAACAGACTAATAAAGCAGGATTACTCAAACGTATCTGAATGAAACAAAACACAACTCCAGGTCTGTTTTTGAGGATTCAACAACAATACAACAAGACTTGAAGCTCACAAGAGTCAGTTGTGAGATATGGAGGACTTTTCAGGTGTTTTAGGTCAATTTTGCGATTTAAAATTACTAAAATCTAAAATAATGATGATGGTAGTGGGTTTACCAGGACCAAATCCTGGTTTAGCTCTGATTTAATCCTGGTTTGACCCTGGTTTGACCCTGGTTTGGTACTGGTTTGGTCCTAGTGGTATAGTCCTGGTTTGGTCCTGGTTTGGCCCTGGTTTGGCCCTGGTTTGGTCCTAGTGGTATAGTCCTGGTTTGGTCCTGGTTTAGTCCTGTTTTAGCCCAGGTCTAGCCCTGGGTTGACCCTGGTTTGGTCTTTGTTTGGTCCTCATGGTATAGTCCTGGTTTGGTCCTAGTGGTATAGTCCTGGTTTGGTCCTAGTGGTATAGTCCTGGTTTGGTCCTAGTGGTATAGTCCTGGTTTAGCCCTGGTTTAGTCCTGGTTTGGTCCTGGTTTGGTCCTGGTTTAGCCCTGGTTTAGCCCTGGTTTAGCCCTGGTTTGGACCTAGTGGTATAGTCCTGGTTTGGTCCTGTTTTAGTCCTGTTTTTGACCAGGTTTAGTCCTGTTTTAGTCCCTTTTAAGTTCCTGTTTAGTCCCAGCTTTAGTCCCAGCTTTAGTCCCAGCTTTAGTCCCAGCTTTAGTCCAGCTTTAGTCCAGCTTTAGTCCAGCTTTAGTCCAGCTTTAGTCCAGCTTTAGTCCAGCTCAATACTGCGATATTTAAAATATCCAAAATCAAAAATAATAATGATGATAATGAGTCTTCTTTACACATCCTGTTATTGCTTAATTTGCCGACTCTGGTTTATGATGATTTATGATGTATTTATGGTGATTTTTATGGTGATTTTTATGGTGATTTTTATGGTGATTTTTATGGTTCTTACCGGACATTGGTCTGTTGGACACACTCGAATCGTCCGTGTGGGTTGTGGCTGGACACATTGTTGAGGGTGAAGGTAAAAACCCTGACTTTGTCCTGGTTGTCTGAACAGGGGATGGAGATTTTCTGAAATAAGGGGAAAAATAGATGAGAAATGATTTTGATTGTCGGCAAGAAAATGATTACAAATGAACCGGAGATGGAATAGTTACCCCTTTGTTGTCGCCAAAACAGATGGTGGGAGAGGAGGTCCAGCCCTGAAAGAGAACAAAACTATTATTCAAAAGAGGTCAACAGGTCACTGTGTCAATGTACACACAAAACTCACAAAACTCACAAAACTCACGACACTTTCCAAGCCGTATTTGCTTTTCAGTGGTTTACTTTGGTTTTAATGCTCTATTATTGTTTGTAATTATTATATGAGGACGTGATCATACTAAGGACAAAAGTGTATGTTGTGAAAATCCTTGTCTAGAGATTTGATCCGATTAAGTCTTGATTAGTTCATATTGACTTGGTTTAGTCTCTGTTTAGGGTGTGTGCGCACATTTGTTGACTTAGTTTGGTCCCGGTTTAGTCCTCGTGGTGTCGACTTAGTTTGGTCCCGGTTTGGTCCTCGTGGTGTCGACTTAGTTTGGTCCCGGTTTGGTCCTAGTGGTATAGTTCTGGTTTAGTCTTGGTTTGGTCCTAGTGGTATAGTTCTGGTTTGGCCCTGGTTTGGCCCTGGTTTGGCCCTGGTTTGGCCCTGGTTTGGCCCAGGTTTAGCTCAGGTTTGGTCCAGGTTTAGTCCAGGTTTAGGTCCAGGCTTAGTCCAGGATTAGTCCAGGCTTAGTCCAGGCTTAGTCCAGGCTTAGTCCAGGCTTAGTCCAGGTTTGGCCCAGGTTTGGTCCAGGTTTGGTACTGGTTTAGTCCTGTCTTAGTACTGGTTTAGTCCAGGCTTAGTCCAGGCTTAGTTCAGGCTTGGTCCAGGCTTGGTCCAGGCTTGGTCCAGGCTTGGTCCAGGCTTGGTCCAGGCTTAGTACTGGTTTAGTCCAGGCTTAGTCCAGGCTTGGTCCAGGCTTGGTCCAGGCTTAGTCCAGGCTTAGTCCAGGCTTAGTCCAGGCTTAGTCCAGCCTTAGTCCAGGCTTAGTCCAGGTTAAGTCCAGGTTAAGTCCAGTTAAGTCCAGGTTAAGTGCAGGTCAGGTCAGGTCCAGGTTAAATCCAGGTTTAGTCCTGGTTCAGGTCTTCCAATACCAGTTTGATAAATGATAAGCAGGCGCGGACTAAAATCTAAACACACTTGATTCTATGCGAGGATTAAACATGACATTTTGAAAAATGATTTAATCTGGGTTAATGTTTTGGTTTAGGATCAGATTGGACTAAAATAAATCAGATTAGTAAAAATAACAGCGGTTACGGTCAAGACCAGCCTCCAGGAAATGAACAGTTCAATAAAATCTCTCAGTAATGCAGAACTAACATACGAGTGTTTGTACGTGTGAACGCAACTGAAGTCCCAACAAGTCACGTTTGGAGGTTAAAATTACACAAACACAATGAGCAAGAATTTCAGATAAACTTAAATACCCCCAAACAACACAATAAAAGTTCAGAATGGTGTAACATTTTAAGATGGGTTCTGTCTCGCCTTGAAGTTGCACCAAAATGTTTATTATTGAAGATTTAATGGAGTTTCTTAATTTTTTTTTTTAGCAAATGTATAAGGAAGTTTGAAGGCCATCCACGCTAGTACTGCAAAATATTTCGCAATCGAGTCGAAATCTGATATGGCGCAATTATCCATTCACAAAGGCTGCAGTTATTTAAAGAAGAGCATGTTCCCTGCAAAGAACATATCCTGTATTTCTGTAGCTAAATCTTGTTGTACCAGTTTCGAGATCTACAAACTGAAAATAAACTGTTCTGAAATGCATGAGATTCTTGTATTGGTTTATCAGTTCAGATTTCAGACACTGCTGGAGTTTTTTTCTACAATGCACACTCTGAACTAGGGGTGTGCAAAAATATCCAAATACCCATATATCGCATCGTTTAATGTGATGATACAGTATCGATATCATGGGCTGCTGTATCGATATATCGCCAAGAGTATTTTTTGGTATATTTTACTAAATTATTTTGTTACAGAGCTACAGTTTTGTTGTTTTTTAGAGAACGGAAACTCGTTTATGCGACACATTTGACATTTTCACTGTTTTGATGATTAAAATGTTTGTGTTTCAGATTCACTTCGCACAAGAAGTGGTTTAACAAAGACTTTTAGTATCACAGCCATGATTTAGCCTTTATTTTTATTGAACCGTATCGAATCTATCTGAAATATATCGTATCGAACCGAAAGTGCACTGTACCGTATACTGACTGTGGCCTATGTATCGTATTGTAACCTATGTATCAACGTATGTATCATATTGTGGCCTATGTACCGAATAGTGGCCTATGTATCGACGTATGTATCATACCGTGGCCTCTGTATCGACGTATGTATTGTATCGTGGCCTATGTATCGTATCGTAACCTATGTATCGATGTATGTATCGTACCATGGCCTATGTATCAACGTATGTATTGGTATCGTGGCCTATGTATCAACATATGTATCGTACCGTGGCCTATGTATCGACGTATGTATCATATCATCGCCTATGTTTCGATGTATGTATAGTATCGTGGCCTATGTATCGACATATGTATCGACTCATGGCCTATGTACCGAATCGTGGCCTCTGTATCGACGTATGTATGATACCGTGGCCTATGTATAGACGTATGTATTGTATCGTGGCCTATGTATCGTATCGTAACCTATGTATCGATGTATGTATCGTACCATAGCCTATGTATCAACATATGTATTGTACCGTGGCCTATGTATCAACATATGTATCGACTCATGGCCTATGTATTGACGTATGTATTGTATCGTGGCCTATGTATCAACATATGTATCGTATCGTGGCCTATGTAATGATGTATGTACCGTACCGTGGCCTATGTATCGACATATGTACCGTACCGTGGCCTATGTATCGATGTATGTATCATATCGTGGCCTAAGTATCAACGTATGTATAGACATATATATCGTATCGTGGCCTATGTGGCCCGAGGTATGTATCGTATCAGCAACTTTTTAATGATACCGAGCCCTACTCTGAACAGAATTCTACTTTTTTAAACATGCATCTCGCAAATCTAATCACATAAGCAAAAATTGTCAGAAAAAAAAAATCACAATAACGCTAGATTTCTTTGATCTGCATGTGTTGTGATAACGTTGTGAACATTGCACTACCCAATTTTAATCCCCTATTATCCTTTTTTTTTTTGTAATTAGATCTGTCTGTGTTGCCAATTTCTTTCCATTTCATCAGAATAGGTGGAGACTCCCTGCTGGACTTTCCCGTGCGTTTCGACAGTCATAACAACACAACATCGCACAGGAAACTATACCCCATGCTCAATGTTTGACGTATGCTGATTCATAGACGACAAAATAAACCGACTTTCTGCAGATTTCCTCTCTAGGACCGATCTGACGCGCCGTTCAGTGTCTACAAACGAAACGTGCGGGCATGCAATCCACAATCCGACGCGAAAAACATCATTTATAATTCCATAGCATCGCGGTGATTTGCATTCCTAACACTTGTAGGGACTTGGACGGGGTACCTCGTTACGACCATCCATGCTCAAGCCATGTTTCCGCATTGTAGCCTATTATGCAACGATTATTACCATTTTAAAGCTGCATGGGGCTTTACGGGAGAGAGTTCGCTGCAAGATCGGTGCCAAAAATGCCCCAAAAAAGCCAAAAACGCAAACACAAAGCAACATTTTAGAGCAGCTCCAAGCGCGCGGCAACATTTTACGCACGACCAACTGGGAAAAGAAGAGTTTATTGTGGGGAAAAATCGCTTACCTTGGCGCTCTGAAAACCCCCGATAGCTCTTGCCGCGCTGTCAGTGAGTTTGACGTGAAAAACAGACACGTTCTCGGCGGGTTTGGCGCTGGACAGACCGTAGCTGTGGTTCTCCTTCAGTGCCGACATGCCGCCGTCAGTTCGGGGCGGGAGCAGCGCGGTTCTGGAGCCGAGACGAGCGCGCAGACATCGGTGGTGGTGGTGGGGGGGGGAGAAGGACACAGACGATCCGAACAAGGGGGTGGCGGTGCCCGTGGTGCCTGTGGTGGTTGGTGCTCGCTCCGACGCGCGTAATTCTGGAGTAGAGCGCATTACCGGGGTTGCCAGATATGGAGGGAGGAAAAAAGGAAGCGGGCATAACTTTTTTTTTTTCCTCTTTTGAATGATGATGATGATGAATATTATTATTATTATTATTATTATTATTATTATTATTATTATTATTATTATTATTTAGGAAAAAAGGAAGCAGACATAACTTTTTTTTGTATTATTATTTATTTGTTGTATTATTTATTTATTTATTTATTTATGAAAAAAGGAAGCAGGCATAAGTTTTTTTTTTTTTTTTTTTTTAAATGATGATGATGATGATGATGATTATTTATTATTATTATTATTATTATTATTATTATTTAGGAAAAAAGGAAGCAGACATAACTTTTTTTAGTATTATTATTTATTTATTTATTTATTGTATTATTTATTTATTTATTTATTTATGAAAAAAGGAAGCAGGCATAACTTTTTTTCTTTTTTTCTTTTAAATGACGATGATGATGATGATGATGATTATTATTATTATTATTATTTAGGGAAAAAAGGAAGCAGGCATAACTTTTTTAGTAGTATTATTAGTATTATTATTAGTAGTATTTATTTATTTAGGAAAAAAGGAAGTAGGCATAACTTTTTTCATTATTATTATTATTATTATTATTATTATTATTATTATTATTGTTATTATTATATTGTATTTATGTATGTATTTATTTATTTTTTACATATTCACATACACAGTCAACAAGAGAGGGGACAACCAGGGACGTCAGAAACACACAAACAGCACGAAATCACACAAACAACACATACAATACACGGGGCGACAACCAACAGCACAAGATAAAAAAATAAAACTCAAATACACTAGTTCATGTTCATGTCCATGTGTTTTTATTTGGTCAGTGTTTAACTCATGACAGTCTACATACTTTATATTCAATCTGATGTCATAAAATAAAACATATTCAGTGTGTAGAACAATCAAGTCAAATCCTAAATAAGTCAGTGACCATGCAGCACATTCATGGACATTCATCTCAAAATTAATATGACATTAATATAACATTTTACTACATCATAATAAAAAAAAATCTATAATTATTCAAATTTTAACAATGAGTTACTGGGTGAATCATAAGGTGTATGGTTAATCAGTCAAATTATTATTATTTTTTTGGTATAGAAGGACCAGATTAGTTCTAGTTTTATATGTTTTTCCCCAAATTTCAAGGTGTGATGAGCGAACACTTAACCACATAAAACAATGTGCAATTTTTTTGTTTTTTATCTGTTTTAAAGGTCTGGAAATATTGTTGTATTTTATAATGTTTTGTTTTGTGTATATGATATTTGGCCAGCCTGATTAGAGTCTGAATGAGGAAGGAGAGATTTTGGGGAATGGAGGGATTGTTGAAGAAGGAGGGTGATCACATGTCTGGTTTTGGTTTGGATGATTATTTCAGTTTCGCTTTGACAGAAGCCACAGTTGTAATCAATATCTAATTTGAATCTTTCTAAATTAAAAAAAATATATATTATGGAGAATTCTGAAATTGACTTCACTGGTTCCGTATACACAGTGTTGGGGAGTAACAGATTACATGTAACGGGATTACGTAATCAGAGTACAAATTATGAGTAACTGTATTCAGTTACAGTTACTGTTTCAGTGAGTGGTCATTGGATTACAGTTACTTTGTTAAAATAAATGGATTGCAGGGCAGTATTTCCCTGTTTTCACATTTTGGGCTAAACCAGGACTAAAACCAGGACTAAAATGAGATCTAAACCAGGACTAAACCAGGTCTAAACCAGGACTAAAATCAGGTCTAAACCAGGTCTAAACCAGGTCTAAACCAGGACTAAACCAGGTCTAAACCAGGTCTAAACTAGGTCTAAACCAGGGCCAATTTGAAGAGAACAAACATGAATTTCCAGGATGTGGTTGTTACATTCATGTAGTTTTAAAAAGCATGACAATATCAAGTAATCCAAAGTATTCAGATTACGTTACTCACTTTAAGTAATTTAATGGATTATGTTACAAACTACATTTTGGGGTATGTAATCTGTAATCTGTAGGCGAATACATTTTAAAAGTCACCTTCCCAACACTGCGTATACGTTGAATTTTCATCTGAATTATAATTTAGGGATGCAACAGTCTTTTTCCTGATTAGTCAACCAGTAAAACGAGTATTTTTATTCTACATTGCGAATTTTTTACACTATTTTTTTATTTTTTTTTAATGACACATGAAGGTAAAATCGGTTAAAATCGAGATAGAGAGAATATTGGTTTAATAATGTAGCTATCTTTGCTATAAAATGTAATGAGTAAAAATATGTTTAAATGGTCAACAATTATTTAAATAAAAATAATAAAAAATAAATTATAGCCAATAGTAATACACATTGCTTTTGAAAAATATGATATTTAGACCAACCAAATACTGATCTTCTGTTATTCTGACAAAGAGTTTAACTATAGTTGAAATAAATGTCTTTCTAATGTCACAAAGCAAAAACATTTACGATTTCCAGCAATTCCTAAGTTATAAATTTGCGGATCTGGCAACTCGGAGTAAACCGCATTACGTCATGACGGCTGGGACCAGGGCGGACGTGATTGGCTGCGGGACGTAAATAAACCCTTACGTACGGTTTTACGTAAGTACTTCCACTTTTTTTGTCTTCCTTCAATGCCACTGTTTCATGCGTGAATAAAGAAGGGAATCTCTCCATCTCAAGAGTGTTTTTTTTTTTTTTTTTTTTTTTTTTCAGAGTTTTTTATCTTCACGTTTACGCAGCTGTTGTTTATGTGTTCTCGCGCGTTAGAATTGCGTTCAAACAGCATTCCGACGGAAACATAACACGGGATTAAATCTGTATAAAGCAACCAGTTGTTCCTCAGTCATGCATGCCACAGCTTTCACTACCTTTTGTCTGTCTGTGAAAATAAAATCTGAACAGAATCGACATAAAGGTATCAGGTCTAAAAATAAATGTTTGCTTTCATTAAACTGTCTCACTATTTACATAAGATAGGCCCAGTTGAATGATGGGAAAATATATGTGTGTGTGTTATTTGTGTAAATCACAGGTTTCCTTTTTAAATGTTTTGTCAAGATCTTAGTGTGAATCATTACAGTTAGAACACAAAGTTTTCTCAAGTCACAGGGTTCAAGTCCAAGTCGAGTCCCAAGTCTTGGTCTATTTTATCAAGTCAAGTCTCAAGTCCTAAAACTAGTGACTCAAGTTTGACTTGAGTCCAAGTCACGACTTGCAAGTCCCACCTCTGGTAACTGCTGCAGTGAGCCTCGTCATTTTGGTCTTAAAGTGTTCGTAATAACCCACTCTACATTTTGTCTGCTAATATGAAACTCGGCTCCAAATTCGCTCTTATAACCGCCGGCCTCATGAGCTTCATTTGACTGGAACCGAACACTGTGGGTGACGTCACACTCCCTCAGTCCACTGCTTTATAAATACAGTCTGTGGTTTTTTGCCAACTAACATCAGTCATGGCAGTGAGAGCAGATGAATGGATATTGCATTTTGTTTTTGTTTTTTTATGTCTTATTCATAAACTTTAACAGAAACAGACTGTCCTCAACCCAAGAATGAAAAGCTGAAAATTACCTCAAACTAATTTAATAAAGGAATTTACACAGTGAATGCAGCTTTCCTTTGGTTTTTACCTTGGTTTAGATTGGAAAGTAGACCCAGTATGACGGCAAAAATGATTATAGGTTGCTAAAAATACCTTAAAACGTGCATTCTTACTGTGCCTTTCCACAGATCTGACCGGTACCTTGGCCTGGTGGTGTCACTTCTTTGTTTCCATGAAGATAGACACGTGTAATGCTATACAGTGGAACATTCTAGGTAAGTGGCATGCCCTTCTTCAGGTAAGTTCTCGTGTTTTTGCCATATGGATACTGCTCAGGTACATTTACTAAGATTAAGAGTAAGATTTTAAAGAAATTTTACTTTATCTGTATAGTTTTAATAATACTTTGGTCATATTTTATTGAAGTAACAGTACTCTTCTTACTTGAGTAAAAAGTTTTGGTTCCTCTTCCCACTCTGAGTAAATCTAAAGTGACAAAAGCTTTATGTGACAATATAAAATGATTTGAACATTTGTGTGTCTTGCAGCTCCTTCACATATGATCTAGTTTGTCTCATTTTTGTGTCTATCTTTTGAAAATACCAGATTTTATGACTTATTTAATGTTTTGTCTTTCAAAGCTGCATTCACTTCAAACTATAAATCAGATGTTTCCTCCCAACAGTCACAATTACAGTTTCTTGAGTAGTTTTCCCAAATACTTTTTATTCTACTTGAGTTACTTCTTGCATCACTACTTCGTACTTCTACTTGAGTAATATTATTTGTTATTATTTATAGTAAAGTCTCTGGCTGCTCTACCCACTTGACCAGAGGTGGAACCAAGACGTCGTTTTGCAAGTCTCAAGTAAGTCTCAAGTCTTTGACCTCAAGTCCGAGTCAAGTCCCAAGTCAAATACAGGCAAGACCAAGTCGAGTCTCGAGTCACTGGTCCATAAGTCCAAGTCAAATCCAAGTCGTCTGCTTTGAGCTTCAAGTCATTTCAAGTCTTTAAACCAAAGTACCAAATATGGCTTAGATTTTTGCAATTTATATGAATTTTAAGATAAATTGTACTTTAAAAAGTCATAATATGTTTATATATGAGTATTTATAGAGGATATAAGTGTTGTAGAAATGCACATTTTTTCTTTTTAAATGTCTTGACAAGATCTTAGTGTGAATCATTATGGTCAGAATAGAAAGAATTCAGATTTAAAAGTGTTTCTCAAGTCACAGGCCTCAAGTTCACACAAAGTTTTCAGTGACTGTAGGCATTCAGTAATGTCAAACCAGTTTTTTTTGTTTGTTTTTTTCTTCCAATGAATCAACCATGAAGTTACCTGTTTTGTGACACATTGTAATTGTGTAATTGCTGCTCCTTTGCACATGTTTAGACCAGGGGTGGGCAAACTACGGCCCGGGGGCCAATAGGGTCCCTTTAATCCTTTTAGTCTGGCCCCCCAATAATAAGAATAAGAGTCCCAAGTCTTAGTCCATTTTATCAAGTCAAGTCTCAAGTCCTAAAAATAGTGACTCGAGTCCAAGTCACTGCCAAGTTCTGCACTTGACACAGTAGTCTTGATGTTAATAGTTTCCTTTTACCTTTAGTTCAGTAGAAATGGACAATTCCAGGGTTGAAAAAATTAAAAAACACAATGAAGCACTTCCTGTATTATCACATGACATCACAATTTGGAACAACGTGTTTTCCATTTGAGGGAAGAACACAGCCTAAATGTGCAGGGTTTGTGTGTTAAACTTGTGCGAATGAAACAAAACACAACTCCAGAAATGTTTGTGATGAATAAACACCAATATAAGATCTGAAAATAATCAGACTAACCTTTAAATAAATTCCATACGGATAAGTTAATCGTGCTAGCTCCATGTTTATAACTGTGGCATTTGAAAGGAGACAGGCGCCTATAGGACCAGGTGAGTTCAAAGCTTGATTCTTGCTTCTGACGCTCTTTGTAGAACGAAACCTGCAGCGTGTGACATTTAGACGTCAGAGTCGATGAGCTCAGGAGAACACACTGGACACTGACCATTTAAAACACCAGCTGGTCACAGAAACACACAAGTTTAGCTCAAATATATTGTCTTTTTTTTGCCTCCAGAGCCATGGGGGAGCTGTCAGACTGCTGCCCCCTGGTCGGTGCAGCGTCCTCGGGGAAGCTGCGGCTGGTCCGGCTGCTGGTGGAGGGAAGGGGCGGACGTGAACGGGTCGAGCCTGAGAGGAGAGACGCCGCTGCTGGCTGCGTGTAAGAGTCTGCAACATCCCGGCGTGGAAACAGGAGCGGACATCGTCAAAGTGATCAACTACCTGCTGCAAAACAAGGTGAGTCTCGTGACGTTTTACTGAAGTGAAAACGTATCCATGGAGTTTAGAAAGAGAAATTAGGACCTTTGCCATAGAGATGAACAATTTAAAGGTTTTATATTACGCAAAATTGACTTTTGTGAGCTTTTAACCATGTTAGAATAAAAACATATAAAAATGTATTTATTTATTGCTCATGCTGTTATTTTGTTGGCATAATTTTAAAGAAAACAACAACAACAATGACAACAAATCTGGCAACATAAATATTCCAATCATTGTGTCTTGATAATTCAATTCATGTCTTAAATTGAATTATTTGCCTTTTGCTGCATGAACAAAAGGAACAGCAAAAAGATAAATCTTATAAACCCTACTCCTTTTACAGATAAAATAAATAAATAAAGAATAATAAATAAATTAATGAATTAATAAATACATTTAAAAATTAATTAAATTAAATTAATAAATTTTAAAAAGAAAAATTTAAAATAAAAAAATATATAAAAAATAAAATAAATTAAATAACCAAAAAAAAAAAAAAAAGTAAAATTATATGCCACATACACACATAGCTGGAGTTGTGTTTTGGCTCCTTCATATGTGTTTAAGTAACCCTTTATTATTCATCTGTGTACATCTCCAAAGCTCAAAATGCTTTGCTCCACCTTGTGATCTCATGAAGTGGTAGTTTTTAAGATACCTTTTACCTTTAGTTCATTAAAGATGGGCAAATCCAGGGCTGAAATTACCAAAATTATTCCAGTGAAAGTGTATGGAGTTTAAAAATTACACTGAAAAGTATTAGACAGTATCACCACATGACATCGTTTGAGAGAAGAACTCAGCCTAAATAAGCAGGATTTGTGTGTTAAACATGAATGAATGAAACAAAACACAACTCCAGATCTGTTTGTGATGAGGAAACTTTACATACGAGCCCTTTTAAACAAAATATTGTATCTTTTGAGTAGAAAAAGTTGCATTTGGTAGGAAGCTTAAACGATTTGAACCCTGTATGAGAATGTGAAGATGTCATAATTTCAGACGGAGGGGTCTATGTAAATCTTTGGGAGTCTATGTAACATTTCTGGTGGAGGGATTGTCACCTGGAGATGTTATTTTCTTTGTCCTGAATGTTACACCCACCTCCTGTATATGTTTTATTTTCCAGGCCGATCCAAATTGCCAGGACCAGAGCGGCCGGACTGCCCTGATGTTGGCCTGTGCGCAGAGGGCCACAGCTGTAGTGTCCGGGCTCCTGAGGGCCGGAGCCGACCCCACCGTACAGGACCAGTGTGGGGCCTCAGCGCTGGTGTACGCAGCCAGAGCCCAGCACACGCCCACACTCAAGGTTACACAAAATTTACTCTTGTGAGCTTTAAGTCATGTTAGAATGTTGTTCGCTCATCAAAAACAGACCTGGAGTTGTGTTTTGTTTCCTGGTTTATTAGCCTGTCTAAATCTCCAAAGCTGTTCTACCTTGTGATGTCATGAAGTGGTAGATTCCAAATTAACAGCTCCCTTTAACCTTTAGTTAGAGATTGGCAAAAGACTCTGTTCACGCTTGCGTCACAAACCAGAAAGACCCTTGGAAACATTCCGGCGGGCTCTGTTCGCGGTAGTAAGTCTGACAAATTCTAGGAAAAATGAGAAAATGTCCCAGTTTTCTTCATCTCCATGTCATTGTAGCTTTCTGTTATGTTCGGCTAATCAACAGTTGCAACCACACCTCAGTTTTCATCATTTCCCCACTGACGCACAACTCTGAGCGCACTGGACACACACTGGATTAGAAGAGATCCATCCATTTAACTCTGATTATTCGGGGCCAGGTTGTGGGGGCAGCAGTCTAAGCAGGGACTCCCAGACTTCCTTCACCTCAGACACTTCCTCCAGCTCCTCCAGGGGGACCCCAAGGTGTTCGCAGAGATATAGTCCCTCCAGCGTGTCCTGGGTCTTCCCTTTGGCCTCCTCCATGCCCAAAACTTCCCGAGGGAGGCGTTCAGGAGACATCCGGAACAGATACCCGAACCTTAGCTGCTCTTCTCGACGTGGAGGAGCAGCGTCTCTACTCCGAGCTCCTCTAGTGTGACTGAGCTCCTCACCCTATCTCTAAGGGAGCGCCCAGCCACCCTGCAGAGGAAACTCATTTTGACCACTTGTATCCACAATCTTGTCTTTTCGATCATTACCCAGAGCTCCTGACCATAGGTGAGGGTAAGAACGTTCTGTAGATTGACGGTAAATCGAGAACTTTGCCTTTCAGCTCAGCTCCCTCTTCACCACAACAGTCCGATACAGCGACCGCATCATTGCCGATGTTGCACCGATCCACCTGGTGGCAACCTTAGCGGTTTTAGGAGAAACAGAGTCAAGTTGAGCGAGTTTACAATGCAGATCCCAGTGCATTTATTAAAAACAAAACAAAAAACTATTTACAAAAGTTCCAAAAAGGTTAAAAACAGGCATAGCAGTTACCTGCGCTCACACAGCACCTCTCCTGAACAAGGTGAGGCTGGCTTCTTTTAAAGGCCCTGTCCTAATTGGGTGAGCCCACTTTAACGATCAGGTAAGCACCAATAATTTGTACATTTAATATCTAAAAACTAACTCTCAGAACAGTGCCCAAACAACATCCAATTACATTAATTACTTAAATTAGCAGTGTTCAATGTTTTAAAATACTAAATAGAACCAGTTAAAAATTTGTGCTCCCCTCCTCCAAACACATGGTTGGCTGCCCCGGAACCTTCTTAAGGTGCTCTGGCTACCCGGGGACTCTTTTGGCCGGAGCACCTGAGGCAGACCACACCAGAGGGAAAGTACAATTACTTTAACACCATTACTTCGATTTAAATGCACTTTTACTTTTACTTAGTGATGGGCAGATGAAGCTTCATGAAGCATTGAAGCCTTTCATCCAATTGGTTCACTCTGGTGCAAAGCTTCCTGGAGCTTCATTTGCTCTAGTAGGACGTCTACTGGATGCAAAAAATATCAGTTGACATGAATTTGAAGTGTGTTGCATTTTGCAGAAAGCCTGTGAATAAAACTGTCAGCAAAGTAAAGAAGTATGCAAAACATGTATATTGTAGTGATGTATACTGTGTGTGTATATATATAAATATAAATACTTTTATATATATATATATACTGGCAGTATGGAAAATTATTATTTGGAAATTATGAAAAAGCTAATGATCATTTCCAGTGAGGTGAGGGGGGTTGGGGTTGGAGTATGGACATTGATTGTGCTTTTGTAACGTTGGGTGATTATGGTTCAGGGACACATCATTGGTTTTTATTTAAAAACAACAGTTTCTCCACTGTGGCAGGTCTCAGGCGATTTCTTTTTTTTGACAATATTTCTCCTGCTTTCGAAAACACCCGCTCACAGGGCACAGATGAGGCAGGCGTACACAAGAATGCCACTGCTAATTTATATAAATGGGGATAGACATATTTCTGTCTCTCCCAGTATTGAAGGGGTCCTCCAGCCTTCCAATATTTGGCTCCATCATGTACCGTTGGACCTCAATATTTGCGTCTGCTATTACATTTTGTGTTTGTGTCTGCCTGACTCTGTCATCCAGGCGACACCACAGGTTGTTACCTAAGAAATAAGAATTGTTTTTTTGTGAGTTTAAACTGTCTCCAAACTTCCAAACTCTCACTGATCGCAACTCTCCATCAAACACCCACATTTTGAATGAAGACTGAGCAGTTTATATCGCTGTCAAAACTCGCGGCAAAACCCGAACCACTTCCTGAATCAGTCACGTGGTACAGCCGGGCAGCGAGGCTTCAGATGTCATCATTTTCAGCACCTCCCCTAAATGAATCAAGCCTCGATAAGCGCTTCGCGGAAACGCCCCCTCCCTACTCGGCACACGCCTCGAAGACTCGACACGGAACGTCACATCACTACTTTTAACTAGCCCTAGGCCCAAGTAATGGACTGGCTACATTACAACCTGTCAGTCTCACTCTCCGATACATCACGTCCTTTTGGTCATTACCCAGAGCTCATGACCAAAGGTGAGGGGAGGAACGTAGACTGAACGGTAAATCGAGATCTTTGCCTTTCTGCTCAGCTCCCTCTTCACCACAACGGTCCGATACAGCGACCGCATCACTGTCCACGTTGCACCTGTCAATCTCACGCTCCGTCCTCCCCTCACTCGTGAACAAGACCCCGAGATACTTGAACTCCTCCACTTGAGGCAGCGAATCTCCACTCACCAAGAGAGAACAACCCACCTTTTTCCAATTAGAAGAGACGAGGACGCCAAACTCAAGATGATTCCAAACGGCACATATGTATGCAGTTTTCATTTTACCGCTGATCACATTTACTTCAGTGGGTTTTATCAAAGTCGGTCGGCGAGCCCAGCGTCGGGAACTACACCCGAAACTGTCATCGCCTGTTTCCAAACGTCTTCCTGATTTGTGATTTGATTCTGAAATTAACCAAATGATTCCAGTGTGTAGGATTTGTGTGTTAAACTTGTGTAAATGAAACAAAACACAACTCCAGGTCTGTTTTTGATGAGGAAACAACATTGTAAAACATCAGAAAACAGTGAAATATGAGGCTTTCATACATGTAAAATATTAAAATAACATCAGAAAATGAAATAATCTACAGATAAAAACAATCAGGCCGTCTTTACTACTATTAATTTTTGTTTGAGTCTTTTGTTTGAGACACGAAAAACTCCCCTCCTAAAAAAGGAAATACGCAACCACAACATTGTAAAATAACTCGAGAACAGAGTTTATTTTTAGCAACTTTCCTTTGGTCTGAATAAAGCGTGACTCATACATTTGAATATAGCATCAGTCACCGCAAAACCGAGCAGACGATTCAGTCCAATTAGGAGAGACATGCAGCCGCCAGCAGGAAATACCGACAACCAACTCGTCGTATTGGGGCACGTGTAGTCGCTGTTGGTTATCAGCTCATTAGCATACAGGATCTTAATCAGCAGTGTTGGGAAGGTGACTTTTAAAATGTATTCCCCTACAGATTACAGATTACACACCCCAAAATGTAGTTTGTAACATTAAATGACTTAAAGTGAGTAAAGTAATCTGGATACTTTGGATTACTTGATTTGCTGTAGAGAAGCAAAGACGAGGAAATCTTCACATAAGGTGTTTTGTCTGATAAAAGAAAATGAAAAGCCCAGACTTTACTTAACCAATTAAAACTATTATTGATAGAAGAGGAGGAGACACGGTCCACACGGCATGGTTTAGACCTGGTTTAGACCTGTTTTAGTCCGGTTTTAATCCGGTTTTAGTCCTGGTTTTAGTTCTGGTTTAGTCCTGGGTTTAGTCCTGGTTTTAGACCTGGTTTAGTCCTGGTTTTAGTCCTGCTTTTAGTCCTGGTTTAGTCCTGGTTTAGTCCTGGTTCAGTCCTGGTTCAGTCCTGGTTTTAGTCCTGGTTTAGTCCTGGTTTAGTCCTGGTTTTAGTCCTGCTTTTAGTCCTGGTTTAGTCCTTCTTTAGTCCTGGTTTAGACCTGGTTCAGTCCTGGTTTTAGTCCTGGTTTAGTCCTGGTTTAGTCCTGGTTTTAGTCCTGGTTTAGTCCTGGTTTAGTCCTGGTTTAGTCCTGGTTTAGACCTGGTTTAGTCCTGGTTTAGTCCTGGTTTAGACCTGGTTTAGACCTGGTTTAGACCTGGTTTAGTCTGTTTAGTCCTGGTTTTAGTCCTGGTTTAGACCTGGTTTAGTCCTGGTTTAGTCCTGGTTTAATCCTGGTTTAGACCTGGTTTAGTCCTGGTTTTAGACCTGGTTTAGACCTGGTTTTAGACCTGGTTTAGTCCTGGTTTAGTCCTGGTTTTAGACCTGGTTTAGTCCTGGTTTAGTCCTTTTTAGTCCTGGTTTAGACCTGGTTTAGTCTGGTTTAGTCCTGGTTTAGACCTGGTTTAGTCTGGTTTAGACCTGGTTTTGGTTTAGTCCTGGTTTAGTCCTGGTTTACCTGGTTTAGACCTGGTTTAGTCCTGGTTTTAGACCTGGTTTAGACCTGGTTTAGACCTGGTTTACCTGGTTTAGTCCTGGTTTAGTCCTGGTTTTAGACCTGGTTTAGTCCTGGTTTAGACCTGGTTTAGTCCTGGTTTAGACCTGGTTTAGACCTGGTTTCCTGGTTTAGTCCTGGTTTAGTCCTGGTTTAGTCCTGGTTTTAGACCTGTTTCCAGTAATTTCTTCCTCTTATATAGTGGAAGCCTTTTTTGATAGAAGATATAGGCCTGTCGAAATGAGCTACCTCCACACAAATGTATATAAATGAGTGAACAATGGTGATTCTGCAGTGGGAGCATTATTCGATGGCTAAATTGGCCTGTCGATATGCGCTACCTTTACCTTTATGTTATTGCTTTGTCTGGAATGTTTCACAGTATGGCATTAAACCTTTCTAGCTTCATGGAGACCAAACCGGATCAAGTTACAGGTCAGATCTGTGGAGAGGCGACTCCGCTCACAGTCAGGATGTATATTTTTCTCAGTATTTTTGAGCCATAAAACCACCTGTAGTTGAATAAATGTAAAGTAAAGCTGATTAATTCCAGGCAGAGCAATGATATATAATTAGAAATAAGCAGGTGACGGACCCTCCACCAGAAAAGTTACACAGTGTACCTTTAAGCCATGTTATAATGTTGGTCATTGGTCACTCTTCGTCTCTCTCACAGCTGATCCTCGAAGCGTCCAGAGACATGGGCAGGGACATCGTCATCGTCATCGCTGCAGACACGATCGCGAACGGAACCAACCTGAAGGAACTGACCCAGGACCACCTGAGCGTCCCCCCGTCCCCCGACCCCGCCCCCCTCTGCACGTCCCCGTCCGACGTCGTCCTCAAAACCAGGGACGTCTTCACCTTCAGAGGAGACGGTGAGTCCTTTTAGAGGTAATTTTATATTTTCAAGGTGCGTTCGGACGTTCGTTGTGGGCGTGCAGTGTCTGGAGGCGGCAGACACAGAAGAATGTGGAACAGTATGTGCTGCTGGACGAACTGGACAAATAGAAAGAACAATCTGAGTGAAAAATGTTCTCTTCAAATGACTCAAATATTGTAACGTGTCTGCTTTTCTCCTGATCATGTGCGGTTTTGTTATTAGCTAAAGGTAGATTGTGTAACGTTTTGGTTGGAGCTCTGTCACCTGCTTGTTTCTGTGGATATAGTGTGTGGGGTCGCCTCTCCACAGACCTGACCTGTAACTTGGTCTGGTTTTTGTTGTCCGTGAAGATAGAAAGGTTTAATGCCGTACTGTGAAATTCTAGACAAAGCAATAACACCCTCCACCACAAAAGGTACACAATGCATCTTTGTTTTGATTTGATACGGTTTTAATTAGTTTTCATTGTTGTGCTTTAATACCTTTTATTGCTGAGAAAAACAGTTTATTGAGGAGTTCACAGACATAGACTCACTACACATTTAATTTTTTATCCATCCATATTCTTCATCTTATCCAGGGCTGGATTGTGGGGGCAGCAGTCTAAGCAGGGACTCCCAGATTTCCTTCAGCCAGGACACTTCCTCCAGGGGGATCCCTAGGCGTTCCCAGGCCAGCCAAGAGACCATGGATCTATTAAATAACTGGATAGGGTATTGCTGCTCGTAGCTGCTTGTAGCTTCACTGGTACTTTAGCGAAAAAAATACTAGACTAAGAGCCAAGAGTCCCTCCAGCGTGTCCTGGATCTTCCCCGGGGCCTCCTTCCAGTGGGACATGCCCTGAACACCTGGCGTCCAGGAGGCATCCAGAACCGATGCCCGAGCCACCTCAGCTGGCTCCTCTCGACGTGGTGGAGCAGCTGCTCTACGCCAAGCTCCTCCCATGCGGCCTCACCCTATCTCTAAGGGAGCGCCCATCCACCCTGCGGAGGAAACTCATTTTGACCACTTATATCCAGACTTCCTTCACCTCAGACACTTCCTCCAGCTCCTCCAGGGGGACCCCAAGGTGTTCGCAGAGATATAGTCCCTCCAGCGTGTCCTGGGTCTTCCCTTTGGCCTCCTCCATGCCCAAAACTTCCCGAGGGAGGCGTTCAGGAGACATCCGGAACAGATACCCGAACCTTAGCTGCTCTTCTCGACGTGGAGGAGCAGCATCTCTACTCCGAGCTCCTCTAGTGTGACTGAGCTCCTCACCCTGTCTCTAAGGGAGCGCCCATCCACCCTGCAGAGGAAACTCATTTTGACCACTTGTATTCACAATCTTGTCTTTTCGATCATTACCCAGAGCTCCTGACCATAGGTGAGGGTAAGAACGTTCTGTAGATTGACGGTAAATCAAGAACTTTGCCTTTCAGCTCAGCTCCCTCTTCACCACAACAGTCCGATACAGCGACCGCATCACTGCAGATGCTGCACTGACCTGCCTGTCAATCTCACGCTACAATTTATAATACATTGTACAAATTTCAATACATTTTTGGCAGTGTAGTTGGACCGGAGGCTTGTTTCCACAGAAATCTTGTCCTGTAATCTTCCAGTGATTTAAATGCTGATCAAAAGTCTATTTATTATGATTATTGTGCATTGTAACATATCCAATTAGCTTTTCTTTTGTTCCTCCAGGCAGCAGAGGAGCTCACAGCCCCAGCTCGCCCGGGCAGAGAGCGTTTTCTGAACCGTGGCTCAATATTCCCCACCAGGCCCACCTCCACCGCGACCACAAGAGGGGGATAAGGCAGAGAGATCACCCCGACGTGGAAGAACACCATCCAGGCATCTCCCAGTCACTCCTCACCCTGTCTGACCCAAGCTCCACCCCTCCTGACCGGTTTCCCCCCTGCCCGGCGCCTGGGTCCTGGGGTCGCAGAAACACACTGCCCTCGCTAACAGCGGTGCCCTCCATGCTGCGCTTTCCGCCTCTGAATGGGAAAGATCGAAGTCAAAAGTTTGCATCCAAAGTTGGCGTGTTGTTTGTGCCACGCCCGCCCAGCTCAGCCCCGCCCCCCTCCAGCAAAGGGTCAACAAGAGCGGCTATTCTGAAGCCCAGAGTCACAGGGTCCCCCGCACCCTCTCCTGTGGCGCCGACTGAAGCTTGTAAGATAAAAAATTTAGGAAAACACGTGAGGAGAGGACAACAGTAGTAATAGAATAGCATTTCAACCCTAGACATTCATTTTCTGATGTATTTTATAATGTATTTTGTTTCTTCATCACAAACATACCAGGAGTTGTTTTGTCTCATTCACATGTTTAACACACAAACCCTGCAGATTTCTTGAGATCTCGCTGTATTTTTAAACCCCATACACCTTCACTAGAATCATTTGGACGATTTCAGCTCTGGAACTGCCAATCTCTACTGAACTAAAGGTAAAAGGAGAAGTTAATTTGACAACTTGAGAACAGAGCATTTTGAGCTTTGGAGAAGTAGACAGACTAATAATGCAGGATTACTCAAATATGTCAAATATGTGTGAATGAAACAAAATGCAGCTGCAGGATGTTTCTAACATGACTTAAAGCTCACAATATCTTTAAATGATTCTGTCAGAAGGCATTTTACACAGATGGTTTCAGACTGAATGTCTATTTATCATACAAAATATGAAAAAAAAAAAAAAGTATTCATTTAAAAGAATGACTCTAAAATCAGTCACAAAACCTGTTGTTGTCTCACACCTCACCCACATTGCCTAGTATGAAAGCAGTGTGTGGGTGAGTGGTGGTTTTGGTTTGATTGGCATGGAAGTCGCACTTCCGTCATTCTGCCCCAGGGTGGCTGTGACTACAACAGTAGCTTACCATCACTGAGGGTGGAGTGAATGAATAATGCTGAATAATGCTCTGGAAAGTGTCTTTGTGACATGTCTGTGAAAAGTGCTATATAAATAAAGACTTACTTAAAATAAATGAATACACACATAATGTTACATGTTTAAACCTAGTAGTCATAAGTACACTAGACGTTTGGTTCAACATGAGGTCAGTGGTTCTGTTTTACCTCTCAACCTGTGGGCTACAACCTGGAGTCCAGGAAGCACTAATGGATTTAATGTGAAATAAATGAAGCAAACATGGATGGAAAATGTATTTTCAAGTTGCTGTTTCTGTGGTGTCCTGTGTCTGCCAGTAAAAACACAGTTACTATGACATTTTCCCCTCAGACTTTTCACTCATGGAAAACACAGTTTGGTGCAATTTCCAAAAAGTGTCAAAAAATCCATTGGTCGTTTGTGTCAGTTCTGATGATGGACGTTTTAGCCACAGTGAAGTGCAGAAGTGAAATTAATCTATTATTGTGATCATTTTAATATAACTAAGAGAGCTTAAACCTGCTGTTCATATTTGCAGTGTAGTCAGCAGTTTGCTCATATAATACAGTAACACATATTTGTTTCAATCTTTAACAGCTTTAATTTTAAGGTAATAAACATTGACTGTCACAACCCATAGACTTCATTTAGACTCATTTAAAGTTGCTCATTTGCTGGTTTACAAGCAAATGTGTGGTTGGGTTCAGACTGGAGTGTGACTGACTGCCACCACTTGAACCACCTCCTCTTCTCCTTCCTCCTCTTCTTCCTCTTCTTTTTGTCCACCTGGGCTTAGAGCTCCTCTGCTGTGACCTTGGTCTGCTGGAGCTGATCACCAGACTCCTTCAGGGACACCTGCATCTCTTCACATCCGAGGAGGGCAAACGTTCTTTCCTCCTCGCTGTGGTTCAAAGCTGCACTCAGCTACATACACTTAAAGTGAGGCATTATGCTGATATATGTTATATTATATTATATTATTAAACCAGGACTAAACCAGGCTGATGAAGCCAGGACTAAAAAGCAGGACTATACTGGCTTTGACTCTGTTGCTCTTTTAAATTCCATTTTGATACATCACACTTTAAACACTAAAAAATATAATCTGGTGTTTTCTGGACTTCAAGATCCCCCCACACATTTTCATGATATCAAAGCAGCCGAGATCCACGGCCTGTCAGGGAGAACCCATACATGACTTTTACTATTGGGTTTGGTGCCGTGCTGTTGTTATTTCACAATGTGAATCAAAATTAGGTCAATTTTGCGTTTGTGTGTGACTCCGAAAGCTGTGCCTGTTTTTGGGTCAAATCTGAAGGAAAAAAAAAAAAAAAAGAATCCTGAAAATAATGTTACTTTCAATCAAAATATTTCTTTTTCACAGCTCCCAGTTACAGATATTATGAGTCTCTTTTGGCTCCACACATTAAACCCCAAAATCACTTGAAAACCAAAATTATTTTTTGTGTATTTGTTTGTTTTTATGAAAATGCCTTCAGGACAATGTGACAAGAGCTTAGGAAATCCAACAGTCAGTGAAAGCAGTTCTGTACTTTGCACCACGGTTTGTACTTAGTTACGAATATTTAAACTGCACTTTTCACATTGTTATCATGAAAGAGAAGACTGAGCACATCCCACACATTATTACACTTAACTATTTCTCTCTAAAGGTATACAGGACCATCTGCCATATATTATTAATAAAACAGGCTATAGTTGTAAATTGTCCATTAAGCTATAGGCCTATTTAGCCCGGACAGTCCCAGCAGATGTATCCAAAACCAGTGATTTGTCCCAGTTTTATATGAGACATGTCCCAGGTGTCCCTATTTTTGACCGATGTGATCCCCACCATCAGTAAAGAGGAGAATTTTTTATCATTTGTTTAACCAAAATACAGAAAAACGTGCTTCGTGTTGGTGTCAATGTTGCACTGTCTCTCGGATGATACAATTTTGATCATAATTATGCTCTTTTTGCTGTATAATTATTACCAAATCACCCCAAACCAAGTATATGTGTAAATTTGTTTACTTACTCATTGTTCATTCCCGTTCCTGACAGCAGAGGGAGCTCCAGCAACATTTAAGTGTAATATTTTTGTGTACTATAGCTCCTTTAAGCCAATGTTGCGAAGACAAAAAAAAAAGAGACAGATTCATGGCAAAAGGAGTGAATTCATTTTATTTGTTTTAATATGTATCTACAACAAGGGGGACACAGGCAAAAACGACTGACAACTTGAGAAACTGAAAACAAAAATAAAATAAAACAAAACAAAACAAAAAAAAAACATTTATCATTGATGCAGTTTTCCCACCTTTTTCTGATAACATTTTTGTCTAAAGAAATTGTACAATATAAAGAAACATACGAAGAAGGAATCTCTTATTTTTACTACACGAGACATTTAGGATCTAGCCTAACATGATACAAATCAACTCCCTGTGTGGACCTCAAATACTGCTGTCTCCAAGAGGAACGCCGAGGAAGTCCACCAAAAATATTCTTTCCTCCGAGTCCTCTCTCTGCTTCCGTACTCCTGAATGTTACAGTAATTTACATCAGCACGATAGAAATACAGAAGTGACCCAAAGTTTACAGACAAAGGACTGCGTTTGTACAACTGATTCAGAGGGCAGGGGAGGAATCGCCTGTACTAGATTTCTTTTTTTTTTGCATTTTTCTAGGTATTTGAGTAAAATCTGACATGTCCCAGTAGTAATATAATGTATAAGCAGCTCTTGATGTCAAAATATGTCCGCTGTGTGCTGTCTGCGTCGAATTAGAAAGCATTTTATTGTTCGATAATCACAACTCCGCTCTGAAACATGGTAAAAGAGCTTCTAAACTCATCACTGTGAACAATTAGAAAGAGTTTGGACCAATGCAAAACAATTAAATTGTGAAAAGTGTAGTTCAAAACAGTAAAAATCAGGTACAGAGCTTTTAAAAACAATATCATATTGTACTTCTAAAACATGTTATTGTTGTTGTATGTTATGTTATTGGGAGTTGGTCCAATTTCTATTTCCAATCTTTAACTCCTTAGCTGTTAATCGCAACCAATCACAGCTTTGAGGAGGTACGAGAAAAGAAACTTGACGCATGTATACAAAAAGAATAACAGAACCTAGGAGTGTCCAAGTTGAGATATTAAAAAATGCAGTACACGAGTAAGATGCTTAGTACAATGATTCTCAATTTAGCTGCGGCTTTAGTGTCGACTCTTCACTTTTAGCAAAATTGCGTTGATTAAAATTGTAATATGTGACGGCAGTATCGGTCAGTTTCAATACTTAGTTCAAGAATCAATAATTGCAACAACAGAACAGAAGTAGAAGGCAAAATCTGAGGTTTTTGGACATTCAGTTCAAGCCTTTTAAAAATATCGACAGCAAGACAATTACGCTGAAAAAAAGAGGCAGTTTTGTCCACTTTCTTAAAATTTGTAGATTTAAAAGGTGCAATGTGCAACTTTTCTAATCGAGGGTTTAATGCTTTGCCTAGGATGTTCCACAGTATGGCATTAAACAACTATATCTCAGATCTATTCAATTACAGGTGTTTTTATGACTCAAAACTACAGTAAAAACATTCATTGTTACTGTGAACAGGCCCACTTCTCCACAGATCTGACCCATAACTTGGCCTCGTGATGTGCCCTGCTCGTCTTGAGACACTTAAATGCAATGCAGGAACATTCCGGAGAAAAACATTAACATTTACATGGAGACAAGCAGGTCTCTACCAGAAAAGTTCCACAGTGCACCTTTAAGAGTAGAATGTTGAATAATGTTCGTTGAAGATCACATTCTATTGTCTATAATGTGTTCCTCAAGGTACTGGAACTGGAGTATTGAGAATATATCCCTTAATATCGAAATCAAGCTTGAAGTTTTAGTATCATGACAACACTAGCAGTTTAAACTTTATGTTTTGAGTCTGAACGAGGATCCACAAATGTATAATTAACATCTACCCAAATCTAAAATAATTTGTTTGAGAATCACGCTTGTAACACTCAAGACAAAAGGTTTTTTATCGAATACGTTTTGCAACTTCTTCAGTTCTGGTCAAACTCTGGTGGATATTTCCTTATATCTGCCTGAAGGGAGGAGCTAACTACACTGAAACTACTCTGAAACTAACAACAGACCTAGCTGACAAAACAAACTGTAAACAAGTAGGTGTGTTAGTTTCAGAGTAGTTTCAGTATAGGTAGCTCCTCCCTTCAGGCAGATATAAGGTAGTGTCCTCCAGCTTCTGACCAGAACTGAAGAAAAACCTTGGACGAGCCGCGAAATGTACAATATTCGGCCAAAAAACTTTGAATTTCTCTTTTGCTATGGATCCTACCCGAATGACTGAGGGATTACACAAACTCAAAGCGTGAGAATAAATGCGTGGAAAGTTGGAGAACATTCCTCCCCGGCCCTGCTCTGTCTGAGAAAGTGAAATAGCATATTATTGATCCGCTCCACTCTCTCGCTCATATTAGACACCGATCTCTGAACAATTATCAGCATGACCAACTGTTAGTTTGTGTATATCAAAACATGTCAATGATATCAAAATGCATTTTACAGTATTTACAAAATCAACAGATGGAGAGTTGTACAAAAATAAGCAAGGAGAAGAGGAGGTGGCGTCGTGGGAGTGGCTATGACGAAAAAGGGAGGCCAATCACCGGCGAAATGACGACATGAATCGGCCGATCGGAGAGCAGCAGCCACGAGTCCTTGCGCTTCAAGATGGCCGACCGCTCGTATAAGAAAGACATACATCACAGTGTGTTGAGTAACAAAGTAGTGGTCAGCAGACACAAGAGTCCGACGTGGAAGCAGCATGAACGGGGACAAAATCAAAATAATGCATGTTGAAATACAGGAGCACCTCAGGGATCAGTGATGGGACCTTTGAAAATGGCAGTATTGACAGAGAAATCAGGACAGGATGTGCATATTTACACAATTGCTACTAGTTCTGCAGTTAACAAAAACAGGATTAACACTTTTTAAAATGAAAAATAATTAAAAAATACAAAGTAATAAATAGCTGTGCATTTTTACTGCATGGAAGCTACCGAAGCGGGGGCAGCCTCTCTTCTGTGTTGTTAAAAACGTCTGTAGTTCAAAATGAAAGTAGAAAAGTGAAAGAGGAGCAGGGCAATGTGGGAGTACCATGGTGGTGAAATGTTGCGCGTGTGCCGGCATGGTCAGCTTATAAGGCTGTTGGTATTGTATAGAAATGTATAAAATGTTGACTTAAAGGAGTTTAAATGAAGAGTGTTGTACCAAATCTTAACCCTATCCCTTAAGAAAACAAATTGATCTGAAAGAAAACGTTAATAGGCAAAATTTTAGGTATAGCATTTTTTGGACTATAAGTTGCACTTTTTTCATGGTTTGGGTGTTTCCTGTGACTTACACTCTGGTGCGACTTATATATTTAAATGTTTACATCGACAGCAGCAAGAGGGCGCTCTAGTCTTGTGTGTCAGTATCTGCTGCTCCTGTTCCTCCTGTACCACTGTCACTTCACTCTACTGCGCATGTCTCCTGCAGAAAGAGCCTCTGTCCTGTCTGTGTCATGTCAGTCAATCAAACAACCCTCGACCGAAAAATCGACCACTGAAAATTTTAAATTTAAACAAACTTATAAAGACAATTGATAAAACTAAACACAAACGCCCCAAAAATAAAATCATATTTTGCAGATTACAAGTAGCGAAATATGCAGCCGAAAACGATAATCGAGGAACAGAAAGAAAGTTTGGAGTGAGCGACAAACTTCAGAAAGTAAATAATTCTAACTGGAACTGATGCTGAGTCTGACGACAGCTACACAGAAGAGGAAGTGGTGCTCTGTTTACCTTCAGAGGTCATGGAGTTGCTGAGAAGTGACACCGAGGATGAAGAATTCAGTGGATTTAGTGATTTGGAGTGAGATGGAGAGTTTGGTAAACTTGTTCTGTTCTGTTGTTTATGTTATAGTTTATCTGAAGAACTGTTCATATGTGACGTTAACAGCCTGTTGCTCTCTGTTGTATTGTTATTACTAGAACTTGCCTCAGGTCTCTGATTTTATAAATATACGCATTTTTTGGCTGGTGCGACTAATACTCCGGAGTGACTTATAATCCGAAAAATATGGTAGTAAGGGACTAGCTTGTCTTTACAAAACCGGTTGTAATTTCACTATCCAGTCAGAAAATCAAAGCGCTCCTAATTTTAGATTTTGAATTCACAAATGTCAAATTCCGAAATATTTCACCAAAAAAGTACGACTGACCATGCCAGCACACTGCGGTCTTCTTGTGAGTGATGTGCCTTTAGAAAAATTATAACAGATTAGAACCTAACTTTTAAAATGATCATACCAATATCATTAATAACAATAATAAAAATAGCAATGATACATTACATACACAAAATGAAAAAAAAAAAAAAAAAAAAAAATCACGGATTATCACAACACCTCTGCTAAAATGTACATAGAAAGACGATAACGTTGCGCTCTTTCCGTCCGACCCGAATCCGCCGGGAATCAAATCTTTAAGTGTTTTGGAATTCCAGAGGGCTGCTTTATCCGAGTCTCCTCTTCCTCCCCTCTCCCCTCACTGCCCCAGTAGCAGATCAGCCAACCCAGAGCTAGAGTTCGGCAGTGTATTCCTCATGCCGCCCTGGGTTCGCTTTTCATCCGAGCCGGCGGCCATTTTGAGAGTCCTTTCATGCTGGGGGGCTGTTCCGGACGAGGGCGGCTTCTGCTAGGCCATAGAGGTCCCGAGTGAGGAGGGGAGAAGGGGGGGGTGGGGCGGTGGACGGGCGGACGGCGCGAGGGTCGGATCCCCGGCGAGCGACGCGTGTGTGGGTGAAGAAGAGGAGAGGACAGGTTGCGGTGGTCCGATTCCGGGTGGAGAAAAAAAACAGGTGCCAAGGTACAAAAATTGAAAGAAAAACAAAAAAAGAACAAAAAGAAAAAATACAAAAAGTAGGGGAAAATTAAATCACACACTCATCGTCATGTTGGGTGAATACTGTGAAGACAGGAGGGGGAGGGAGAGGGGAGAAATGTAAGTGATGTGGCACTGGCACGCTTTAGACACCAGAGGGCGCTGCAAGACCGCTCATAAGCAATGGATTTATGGTTCTATACAGTGACTTATCTATAAAATTACTCAACTAAATAAATTCTAGATTTGAGATTAAAATTTTTTATATACATACACTACCAGTCAAAAGTTTGGACACACTTTCGTTTACGTTTCGTCTTTATTTCCGTGATTATTGTAGATTCTCGTGGAAGATATAAAAGCTACAAATGGATATGAATGTAGTAAATTTTTAAAAAAAATCTACTCAAAATAACTCTTTCAGATTAGAAAAATAAATAAACTAGCCACCTTTTGCACAGCTGTGAAGTAAAAACCACTTCAGGAGCTCATTGAGAGAAGGTCGAGAAGAAAGGATGGCAACTTTGAGGATTTGAATACAAGATATATAAAAAAATATTCTGTTATTTTGACTTTTTTTCCTTTGTAGCATAACTACAAAACTCTTGCATCATATATTTACATACGTATAAAAAGGTAGAAAGCTGTAAACAAAGATACTGAGTGAACTGAATGAGATGTGTCCAAACTTTTGACTGGTAGTTTTGTGTATTTTCTCAATTGGAATGATACAAGGAAAAAGCATAATGTATTTTTTATAGCAGCATGTGTTCCATGTATTTTGATTCGCTCTACACAATATAATTTACATAATTTATAAATAGATGTATCATGCGTATTCATCACTATAACACTGAATAAATTACAGCTAGAAATGATGTTCAGTATTGCCAATATGTGGAAATGCAGATGAAGATACAGTGACGCTCTAAAGTTTGGAGAATTATAATTATCAGAGGTGGGTAGTACTCAAGTTACATTTACTTAAGTAACTTTTTAAGGACATCACACCATTAGAATAGATTTGATGGTGTAACAGTGCTCTTATTTGAGTAAAAGTTTTGGTGACTCTTCATGCTGCAAGAAAGTCTAAAAGCTTAATGTTGATAATACGAAACGATTTGAAGTTTGAACGTTTGTGTTTCTTGCACCGCTCCTTCAGATGTGATTTAGTTTGTCTCATTTTTGTGTCTATCCTTTGAACATACGAGATCTTTGGGATTATTTAAAATTTTGTCCTCAAACTTAAATCAATTTCAAACAATAAAATCAGACAGTCTTACAGTTACTCTTGAGTCATTTTCCCAAATCGTTTTTTACTCTTGGGCTACAACTTTGTACTTTTTCTTGAGTATTATTATTTTGAAGTGACGCTACTCTTGCTTGAGTAAAATCTTTGGTTACTCTACCCACCTCTGCTATCCAGTGACGTGCGCATAAGGCAGTAAGCACGTCAAAAAATAATACTTTTAATCTCTTTTTCATCTGCTTGTGCTTAGGACATAGCGACTGCTGTTTGGTTCTTCGAGATGTGATTGGCCCCACTTACACTTTCACTTTGGAATGGGTTCAAGAAGTTCCCGCCCATCTCGCCGTCGTCCCGCGGCGTCCCCGGAGGGTTGTTCATGCCCCCCATGTTGTTGGGAGAACTCTGGAGAGAGAGACAGAAGAGAGGGGAGTTAATGAGAGCGCTTCACACGCTATTCAATGCTTCCACGTTTGGGAGTTGGACTTGACTTACCTTTGGCAACCCATCCATGTCCCCAGACCCTGTGGAGATCAAGTGAGCGAGTTTAGCATGTCTACGAGTAATGCCGTAATGATAATGTTTATTCTAGAGGATACCTAGTGATCCGTTCATATGATGCGGCTCCATGGACCCCATAGCCCCCATTGGCCCGTCAGGTCCTGGCCCCATCGGGAACTGGAGAGAAAAAGTTAAAAATGGGAAAACAAGTCTTATTTCTATGGTAAAGTCTTTTTAATGGCACTTGGAACACATCATGAATTCTTGTAGGAGAGTTTGTGTATTTTTATTTCCTCAACAAAAACATGCAACACAAGTAATCCAATCAAGGCTTACATTCGGTCTGTTGCCTCCAGGACCAATGGGGTTCATCATTGTGTAGATGTTTTCACTGGAGTTTGTAGAGTCTGAAATGGAAGAACAGAAACTTCAGTTAGGAGATACTGACATGTAGACCATAGGAGTTAAAGGGAAACAGAAGGATCTTTAAGTTTGTACTGATTAATCTAGAGGGGAAATAAGAGGTGACGCACCACCTGGGCTGGGCATGATGGGAGTGCCTGGTGGACCGCCGCCCCCTGGAGGACCCTGAAGAGAAGACACACAGAGCCATGAGAACATACAGTGGGTTTAGAGGAACATTGTGAGGATCTGCAGAGGCTCACACTCACCACATAGTTCCCTGGAGATGAGGACGAGTATGCTATCTGTAAGAGCAAAGGAGAGGAAGAGTTTAAACACCACCCACACGTGAGGCACTTACTGTGACAGGCACACACACAAATGCAGTGCGACTTACAGAGTTAGCATTAGGTCCTGGACCAGGCCACGGCCCTCTGCCTCCGGGGCCCCTGAAGTAATAAAGGAAAAAGAAATAAGCAAAAGCAGTGAGTACCAGTCCAAACACAACAAGGACAACAATGGAATATTTGTACTTACATGTTCATGCCAGGCATCGGACCCCCCATGGAGTTTGGAGGAGGCCTCATGCCTCCATAGTTCTAAAAACAGGACATTTCTAATTATTCACCGTGTAATTATGAATGGGAGTGTATATGTGTGAGTCAGTTCAGTCACTGATCATGTGCACAGTGGGACGTGTACCTGTGGGCCCATAGCCATTCCCCGGGGAGGGTTCATCCTCATGGGGCCTCCCATGTTGGGATGTCCTGTAGAAACAGAGCGCAGAGCGTTCGCATTAGCACCAGGCTTAAGCCTGACCCAGGTTTAATAAACTCAGGACTTAGATCTGAGCAGACAAAGCTGGATCCTAATTCCATTAGTCCTAACCCTGTGGCGTCCAAAGCTCTAATCTGTATTAATCTCCATGGAGCACCTCTCTGCATGGGCTGTGTGTAGTTTGGGCTTTTCACATTGACCCGCTGCTGTGGTGTCTGGAGTGAGTTTTACTGCTGTATCCAGTATCACAGAATGTCTGACAGTAACTGATCCTCACACATTGAGCACAAGGCCACCTTACATATGCCCATTACCTTGTGGTCGTGTTGGGTCCAAACTGTTTGGCAGCAGAGGCTGAGATCCAGGGATTCCCCCAGGAGGCTGTGAGCACAGACACACAGTTACTCTACAAATGTGAGTGAAAAGCCTCAAAACACTCAGAAGAGTCAAACTAATACCTGATTTGGCATTCGGAGTGAGGGGCGTGGTCCGCCCGGATACCGCGGCGACATGAACGGCTGAAAGATGAACAGAGAGAGAGAGAGACAGAAGATTGAGACGAGCAAACAGGAGGAAGAGAAGAGAAAACTGCATGTTCATTATTCATAAGTCCAGAGCACTCAGACGCAGGCAGCACCGAGGACACATGGATGAACACGGCGAGGCTGAGGATGGAGATGAAAACTATCCGTGCCGTGCCAAACCAAAAGAACTACCGGAGCAGAGCCCTTTTCAGCACGCTACAAACAAAAGAGTGTGTGTGCGCTTGATGTGGACGGCGGCTAACTGCGGTGTAAGCCGATTCGGCCCTGCGGTCTGCCTGCCGGAGTTAAAGACACCTCCAAACCTTTACACAAAAACTGGAGTACGCTCGCTCGCACTCAAAACCGAAACTGGAAACCGCAAAAGTGGTGGAGTCGTGCCGGACCACAGTTAATGGGCGAAAGAGGGCTAGCTTTACCCGCCGCGGTGACATCTTAAGCTACTGTTGTGGACAAGTGGTGAAACGCAGCCGGGCTTGTTTTGGAAAGGTCTGAATACGGGACATGTGTTTGGGGAGAGGGGAGAGTAACCCAAAACTATAGAGCGGCGTGTTGACAGGAGGTGGTAAGAGAGTGGAAGTGGGAGAAAAACTGATCCCACACGGAACCAATGTAGAAATGTATGGTGCTTTTGATTGAGTTTTAGAAAAGTCTGATTGGTTAGATTAAGAAGTTCCATAATAAAAACAAATATATATCAACATTTTCCGGAATTCGTGATGTTTCCCTAGATTATCTGCAGCCCTTAAATTGGTTGTTGACGGTTTTTAGACCAATATGTCATAATAAAATGTATATTAAAACATTTCACATTATTATTTGCAGCCCACGATTTCAATATTGAACATTCCATAATAAAATATCTAAAATGTTTCCAGAATGTTATTTTTCCTTTTTTATTTGCAGCCCATGAATAGATTGTTGACAAGTTAATACTTTTGCAAATATTTCTTGTCATATTCGTCTAAAATGTCAAGAAATCTCTCCTATAATTTCACTAAATCGTCCTGCAATTGGCTCAATAAACGAGATTCCCAAAGTAAAGAGACAATCTGTAATGTTTTGTAATAAGAGTAAACTTGGAAATTGCTGAGTAGCACTGAGAAATCTTTTAGACAAATATGTTGTCTTATCAGGTTTTCACAAATATTTCTTGCCATATTTGTAAAAAAAAAAGTAAAATCCCAAGCAAATTTCTCCTACAATTTAAATTTGTGTATCATTCGTTCATTCATTTTACAAAATAAAATGAAAAAACTACTAACTATTTTCTTCATTATTTATCTCCAACACAAAAATTTAAAAATGATCCGATCCGACCTGTTTTTACAATTTTCGGTTTTGTGCTTAAATGAATAATGGAAAAAACAGACAACGGCCATTTCCTCTTTCCGTGACTTAAACTGTGATGCCGGATTTTTGTGCCGCATTCGGACTCATAACAGGACTGATTGCAAAACCAAACCAGGACTAAACCAAGACTAAACCAAGACTAAACCAAGATTAAACCAAGACAAACCAGGACTAAACCAGGACTAAACTGGTCTCAGTCCCGGTCTCAGTCCCGGTCACCCGACAGTCTACGAGGGCTGCACCTCCAGGCCTGTCCCGACACCCAGTCCTGGTTTAGTCCAGGTTTAGTCCTGGTTTAGACCTGTTTTAGTCCTGTTTTAGTCCTGGTTTAGACCTAGTTTAGACCTGGTTCAGTCCGTATGTGGCGCAAAAATCCGGCATTGCAGTTTAAGTCACGAAAATGGGAAAAGGCCGTTATCTGAAAAACTGAAAAAACAAATCATTACCCGTTTTTTCATTTTGGTTATGAAGAAAATTGTTTTTTGTTTTTGTTTTCTTATTGTTGGTTTTATTTTGAAAAACTAATGAACAAATGATACATGGAATAATTTAACTAAATCATCCAGCAACTAGGTTTATAAACTAGATTAGTTTTATTTAAAGAGACAATCTGCATTTTTTTGTTGTGCAGGTGAACTTTGGCCATTGGAGCATCCCTTATTTTTCTTTTTATGCCAGAACATGATCGGCCAAGTTTGTGCATTTTTTATAGACTAATTTGCATTCTTCATAATAAATCTAAAGTTACATTTGAATCTCCCATATATAATTTTAACCCAATAATGTCCCACTTTCTTTTCCACATCCTCCAGTAGAAATCGCAATCTTTCATTTGGGCGACATTTTCTTTGGTCACTTGTTTTATTTAGCAGCAGCTGGAACGTAGAACCGGAGAGCGGCGGGGCTGTGTGCATGAGTGTAACCCCCGCAAACCGCTCGGGGGGGGAGGGGCGCCCGATCAATTATTCATCATCCAGGAGAGACCGGGTCCTGCCGCGGGATGCAAGGCCCTCGCCGCGGACTGGAGGACGGGTTCGCGCGGCGTCTGTGGGGACTACGGCTGTGGAGGGGGCCCCGGGGGGTGTGTGGGGGTGAGTGGAGGCAAAGGGGGGGGTAAGATTGATAGCGATGGGGGGGGAGAGGGAGGGAGGGGGGTACACTGTAAAAAATTACTATCTACAGGAGTTAAAATGACTTGAATTGAGAGTTGTTTTAATTAAAGGCGCTGTACCTGATTTTTACTTTCTCAAAAACAAGAAAAAAATCTGAATTGTTTGCCGTCATCTAAAGTTATTTCTCATCTTCTTCATAATTCACATCATAATTATTAACCATTATTAATTTATACACGTGTTTCACAATTTCCATGCTAACAACAACTAGCATGCTAACAGCACTTACACAAAAGTACATCTAACTTATTCCTAGAATCATAATTATTCACAGTAATTTGATTTTATACATATATGCGTTTCGGTTGTGCGAGTTTAGCCATCACGGCAACGCTAACAACAACTAGCATGCTAAAAGTGACGCTAACTTATTTTTAGCGTCGTAATTTAGACTTTGACAAACTTTATTGATCCTCTTCACAATATAATATAATAACCAAGAGTAAAAAACATAATAAATAAATAATTATTCGCTTAATCAGTTTATACGTGCGTTTAATAAGGTTGAGTTTTCACAAAGTTGAGTTTTGATGGTAATGCTAGCAACAACTAGCATGCTAACAGTGACACTAACTTATGTTTAGCGTTGTAATGTAGATTCAGACAAACTTTACCGATCCACAAGGGAAATTATTTGGACACAGTGCTCACTCTTCACAATATAATATAATAACAAAAAGTAAAAAATATATAATTAAGAAATAATTATTCACCTAATTAGTTTATACACACGTTTCACGAGTTGAATTTTGATGGTAATGCTAACAACAACTAGCGTGCTAACAGTGATGCCAACTTATTTTTAGCACTGTAATTAGATTTAGTCAAATTTTATTGCTCCACAAAGGAAATTATTTGGACACAGTAACTCAATCTTCATAATATAATGTAATAACAAACAGTAAAAAATATAGTAAATAAGTAATTATTAACCTAATCGCTTTATTCGCACTTCCAAACTTGAGTTTTGAAGGTAATGCTAACAACAACTAGCATGCTAACTGTGACGCTAACTTATTTTTAGCATTGTAATTTTGACTTCAACAAACTTTACTGATCCACAAGGTAAATTATTTGGATACAGTGCTCACTCATCATAATATAATAAGAAAGAGTAAAAAATATAATAATTATTCACCTAATCAGTTTATATACGAGTTTCAGAACTTCCAGAGATGAGTTTTGGCGGTAATGCTAGCAGTAACTAACAAGCTAACAAAGCCGCGACCTTATTTCTTGGTTTCCAGATGATAAAAATACTTATATATTTACTACTTCTTTATATAATTCGATGCATAGAGTACAAAGTGGTCTCATTTTAACCTCAAAAACTGCTTATGCAATATAGCTACTTTTTTACGTAAAAAAAAAAAAAGGTACAGCCCCTTTAATTTGAGATGGAGATGTTTTAGTTATATTATGTATAGGTTTGACTAATTTCAATATTTTTCTGTTTGACTTTCAACAGATTTTCTTTTATCTATAAGTCCATGAGGTAACATTTTTCCATCTTTATCAACAATTATTCTTATTTTAACCATGAATCAGTATTTTTCTATTGAAATCAAAACAGTTTGTATGCAAATAGTCAAAAGATCTAAACATACGATAGGTTAAAACCTCTATAGACACAAGAGATAAGTTCAAACTGACTAAAACTAAGAACAAATACTTCAAATGCCAAGTCATTTAAGCCCCTGTAGACGGTCGTTTTTCGGCAGTGGACTTGGAGGTAGAGTTTGTGTGCTGCTTACCTGGCCGTGGGGTCCCATCATGGGGTTGCTGGGGTTGTGAGGGGGGGGCTGTGCGTGGGGTGACTGCTGAGAGCCGGGTGGTCCCTTTAAGAAAGAAGAGCCATATCAGAGAGGAGAGGGGCCAGACGGGCACGACGCTGCACTTTTCACAGGGAAAATTTAACGTTTTTTGTTTTCTTTTTTTTTCTTTTTTTTTTACAATGATGGAGGTTTTCGGGGAGGTTTTTTAGAAGGAGAAAAATGGGATGCAAGAATGGACAATTTGGTCAAAGAAATTAAAGTGCACATGACGGGTTTTCATGTTGTTCTAGTTATGACTTGGTCTGGTGGGAAAGTACCTGTGGTTAATATCTATCGTAGTTTTACATCAGATAAATGGCAGTCTGTGGAAAAAAGTTCAGAGGTACAAAAATACAGGAAGTAGCACCGAGTTCAAAACAGAATCCCTCTACCCACATCATCAACACGGAAAATTCCATCGAAAATAAAGGTGCTGTCATTTAATTGTATTAGTCTAATCATGACTATTGCGTAATTTAAGCACGTTTTGACAATTTTTTGTAAGTATAAGTCGGGTTGCTAGGTAAATTTTACAGAATTAACTCTACCTGTGTCATATCTACTGTCCACCAAGAAATCTAATTATAAACTTCACAAAAAACTAAATAAAAAAAAATAGATTAAAAGAACTAAAAAAATAGGCAATCTTAAAGCGATAATATTTCTGAGAGTGGAAAGACAACAGCATGAGTCCATGGAAATTGAATGTTAAAAATCATACTTCGCAACATTGTCCATGGAAATAGATCGGAATAATATTCCACAGTATGCCATAAAACATACTGGAACAACATGGCCATTGAAACAAGCAGGAGCAGGCCACATAGGAGTCAGGTTTGTGGAGATGCAAGCCTGCTCACACTAAAAAAAACAACAACAACAAATTTTTCTGCTTTTCAGTGCAATAGGCTCTTGTCACGCTTACGTCACAAACCAGGAAGACATTTGGAAAGGCATGATTACAACTTCCGGTATAGTTACAACAACAATGGGTTCGCTTAACCCATTTCATGTTCATATGCTGTTTTTTTTCTTGGAATTCTGTCATTGTTTAATAGGGTTAGGCAGTATAAGTACTTTTTACTTCAGCCTAAACCCTTTTGGTCATGATCTATGGGATTGTAGTCAATGTTTTGTTTTGTTGTGCTGCAAAATGACCGAATATACTACTGATACTACTACTACTACTACTACTACTACTACTACTACTACTACTACTACTACTACTGACTACTACTACTACTGACTACTACTACTACTACTACTACTACTACTACTACTACTACTACTACTACTACTACTACTACTACTACTACTACTACTACTACTACTACTACTACTACTACTACTGACTACTACTACTACTACTACTACTACTACTACTACTACTACTACTACTACTACTACTACTACTACTACTACTACTACTACTACTACTACTACTACTGACTACTACTACTACTACTACTACTACTACTGACTACTACTACTACTACTACTACTGATACTACTACTACTACTACTACTACTACTGATACTACTACTACTACTACTACTACTACTACTACTACTACTACTACTACTACTACTACTACTACTACTACTACTACTACTACTACTACTACTACTACTACTACTACTACTACTACTACTACTACTACTACTACTACTACTACTACTACTACTACTACTACTAGAACTAGAACTACTACTACCACTACCACTAGAACCACTACCACTGTCAGTGGTACTACTACCACTACTACCACCACTACTAGAACCACTACCACTGCCACTACTACCACTACTACTACTAGAACTACTACCACTGCCACTAGAACTACTACTACCACCATTACCACTAACATTACCACTACTACTACCACTAGAACTACTACTACCACCATTACCACTACCACTACCACTACTACTACCACTAGAACTACTACTACCACCATTACCACTACCACTACAACTACTACTACCACTAGAACCACTACTACTACTACTACCACTACCACTACCACTACCACTACCACTACAACTACTATTACCACTAGAACCACTGCCACTGCTGCTGCTACTACTACTATCACTACCACTACTACTACTACTACTACCACTACCACTACTACTTGGATCTATTAAAATCACAGACTGTATAAAAGAAGTGGACTAAGCGAGTGTGACGTCACCCACAGCGTTCAGCGTCGCTCAAATGAAGCTCACGATGCTCACGGTTACAGGAGCGAATCTGGAGCCAGGTTCTATGTTACGAATAGGATTTTTTTGATGGACAATATAGCAAAAAAAAAAAAAATTAAAAAATTCAGGATCATGTAGAGCGGGTTAATAGGAACATTTTAATTCCAAAATGACGAGGCTCACAGCAGCAGTTATAGAGAGTGGCACGACAAGATCCTAATGCAAGACAACTGGAGCCAGCGTGAGAAGAAACCGGAAGAGCCTCCTGGAGCATTTCCTATTTGGCACACAGAGGCTAGAGCGTTAACTATGTCCACTCATATATATATACAGTCTATGATTAAAACCGACTGTGGTCAAACTCACTGAAGTAAATAATCAGTGGTAAAATGAAGACTGAATACATATGTGCTGTTTGGAATCATCTTGAATTTGGCGCTTCATCTCTTCTAATCGCATGTACCCAATGCGCTCGGAGTTGTGTGTCATTTCAGAAATAATGAAAACTGAGGTATGGTTGTAATTGTGGAATTCCGAGGTAATTCCGAACATAACGGAACTCTACAATGACACGTAGTTGAAGAAAACTGTGCTTGGGAAGTTGTAATCGCATGTTTCCAAACGTCTTCCTGGTTTATGACGTAAACGTGACTAAAGCCTATAAAAGCAACCAAAATTAAAAGAAAATAACATGATATTTTTTGCTAAAAAGTGACATACTGGGGCTTTAAATATAATCATGTCATGTCATGTTTACTAAATTAACCGTCTAACCTGTCACATGCACTTTAAAACAATTCCAGTTGAGTAAAAAAAAAGAGAGCAGGAGATCAGGGACTAGAACGGCATATGGAGCTGCAGTGTCTGTTCGGACCACTGGGAGGCGGTGTTGTCATTAGCACCAGCAGGTAGAGGGGCAGACTGGCGCTGGGACCAAAAACATGGCAGTAAAGTGAGGCTTGTGTCTGCTTCCAAATGATTGAAATGATGATAAAGTATGTGAGCGAAGCCTGGTGCTGGGAGGGCATCCACATCAAGCACACGCACTCGTCCCTGTCCCCTGAAACCAGAGGCTAACCACCGCTAATAAATAAGTCATTAGCACGTTCTGCCTTTTGTCGGATCCCACTTTTCTGCTCGTATTAACTCCATGTTGCCAGCTAATGCTACTGGAAGAATGAAGAGAGATTTGGGCACTAAAGTTTAAAATTTTCGGTTCAACATGTGTCATGTTTGGATAGATCTGCAAGTACGTTCATTTGTAATTAATAAATAATACAAATATCATAAGAAACTGTGTGAAGACTACTTTATGACGAGACAGTTCAGACACAATTTTAAAAAGGGGAAAATGAAAGTAACATTTGTAGGTAAACACAATTTCTGAATTTAAGTAAAATGACATTACAACATACTATACTGTCTACAGTTGCTGTTGCCATAGTAATTAACAATTCAAAACTAATATGTCTTGGTGACTGTACGGTGAAAAGTCTAATTTTAACAAAACAATCTCTGTAATCAATCTGGATAAGCTCTGTGCCCACCGATCTGAGAGTACAACGTTACACTCCGCAATATGAAAACCACAGATTCAAAGTATTGATTGTTTTTTTTTTAATAAATTAAACAGTCCCCTTGAAAAAGAGACGATGCATCTCAAGGGGGCTATCGAAAATACGTAGATTAATTAAATGTATATTGTATACAGGAAGAGTACATGATGACAACAAAAGATATAAAAGAAGTAGCATTGTTCTAATTTGATAAATAGAAAAGCAGTGGTTAAAGGAACTGTATGCAGCCTCACAACAGAACCTGTGTTGCCAGATAGAGGACACATACACATACAAGTTTGTCTCATTCTCAGTTTATAAACAGGTCTCAAGTGAAAGCTCAGAACCTCTAGAATTCAATCCCTGAGCTGCAAAGGCTGCACTAGCACTGACTCATGACTGGCTGCAGGTGCTGGGGTTTAAGCAGTGACTATTCAGATCAGAAAGAGGCATTTTAGGTTTAAGCCAGCTGGATTTCAGTATTGAAACTGGCAACCCAAATGAGAGACTCATGTGCGGCTCATTCTGCTTTCTGATTCGACAATTATCTTGGGAACCAAACCACCAAATTATAACAAAAGAATGTGCGATCATGTCCAATGTTCTGATCCGATTTGAACGTGTCTACCTCGTATCAGGAGACACACGCCACGTTTATGAAATTTTAAATCTAAATCTTCCATACAGCTCCTTTAAAACCTCCATCCTTCTTTCTTGGAGTCGTTTTAGTCTAAGTCAGAAAAACATGCAGAAAAACACAAACTGTCGCCTGCTCGCACTCCCCCCGCGCTGGTTATAAATAGCACAGCCATGCATCCCTCCTCTCCCCCTCTCTCCCTCTCTCCCTCTCTCTCTCCTCCACCCCTCTGTCCCTCATACTCTGAAAACATACTGTCAGTGGTGAGCAAGCGAGCCCCCAGCCCTCCTCCTCCTCCTCCTCTTCCTCCTCCGCGCTCCCCCGACTGCGCAATGCAACCCCCCCGGCCCTCCTCCTCGCCCATCAGCGCACAAGAAGAACCATCACCGGGTTTCTTAGCTAATGTCACAGAACGGCTCTTCGTGGACATGTGGAGGCTAAAAGAAGTTCTGAGCTGGAGGCGCGGAGAAGGTGAGAGATGGTGCGAGATGGTTCAAACGGACCACAGAGCGCAGGAGATGGATGGAGGCTGCAGGAGAACGTAAACAAAGCTGCCAAAATACCGAGAAGCTGCTCTACATTGGTGCACAACGCCCAATGGGAGGTCAAAGGGTTTAGTACGGTTCTAGTGGCCTTTAAACTATGAAAATGCAACTAGGAACATCTTAAAACTCACAAAAATAAATACACAAAATGGATTCTTGTGAGGATTTACCCATGGTAGAATATCGTTTCCTCAAAAAAAACTATCCAAAGCTTTGTTTTGTTTGATTCAGACATGTTTGAGTAACAATTTATGAGTCGCCTGTCTACATCTCCAAAGCTCAAAATGCTCCGCTCCACCTTACGATGATGATCCAAATGATTCTAGTGAAGGTGTACGGAGTTTAAAAACGCATTGGAGCACTTCCTGTATTGCCACATGACATCACAAGGTGGTACAGAGTGTTTGCCGTCTCAGTTTGAGTGGAAAATTCAGTCTAAATAAGCAGAGTTTCTGTGTCAAACATGTGTGAATGAAACGGAACACAACTCCAGGTGTGTTTTTGATGAGAAAACAACATAATAACAGCGAGCAGAAAATAGCGTAATATGGGCACTTTAGTAGTAACTATGAAAAATGTGGGTAGGGATATCTTAAATGGTCTTAAATTAGCCTAATTAACCATTTCTGTACATTCTTCAGTAATAAACATGGTATTTTTGCTACAATAGGTCAAAGTGCGTCTATCAGTGTGACTAGGAGTGTGCAAAAATATTGAAATACCGATATATCGTATTGCTTAATGTGATGATACAGTATCGATATGTGGGCTGCTGTATCGATATATCTCCAAGAGTATTTTTTTGGTATATTTTACTACATTATTTTGAAACATTCACTGTTTTGATGATTAAAATGTGTGTGTTTCATATTAAATTTGCACAAGAAGTGGCTTAACAAAGACTTTTAGTATCACAGCCTTGATTTTTTATTGAACTGTATCAAATCAATTTGAAATATACCGTACTGAATCGTATCGAATCGAAAGCTCACTGTATCGAGGTATGTATCGTATCGCCAATTTCTGAATGATACCCAGCCCTGAGTATGTCCATGTGTGTTTTGATGGTGACGCTGGCAAAACTTTTTGTTCTCTACGGTCAAAAACTCTTTCCAACACCCTCTCCTCTTCTCCTATTGGTCAGTCCATCATGCCCTGAGTGACTGACAGGTGGATTCAACCAATCACAGTGAAGAGTGAACTTCCACAAACAACCTATAGCTTTAGTTACCTCCAAGACTCTATAAAAGACACTAAGAAAACACAAATCGTAATAAAATCAAAATAGTGATTAACTTTTGGACCCATATCTGGAGTCGTTTTGTTTCATCCACACATGTTTAGGCAATCCTCTGCATTTAGTGTGACATAATGTGATTCAGAAGTGCTCCACTGTGTTTTTAAAGCCCACTAACCTCCACTACGGTCAACTGGATGAGTCCAGCTTTCACGCTTCCTAAAATAGCCCTGAAAAACGAAAGCAGCTTCCGTTTTAGCCTGATTTAAACTGCTTCACTCTTCGTTCCGCCGGCACCTGCACCGTCTTACGATTATCAAAAGCTTTCTTGAACAAATTCACGAAGAAACAGTCAAAAACACTTAAAGAATGTAGTGTTAAGTAACCACAGCTTTTATAAACCGTCGATGTGAACACGGCCACTGTAGGACTCATGTCAGATGGATGCGTACAGGTAAAGTGATGGGACAGAGGTGACAGCGGACTGGGTGATGGAAGAGGAGGAAGGGGTGGGGGGGTCTACGTACCTGGAAGAAGCCTGGGGGCATGGGACCACCGGGCATGGCGTCGTTGGGAGGCATGTTTCCCATGACGGGGCTGGGGGCCGCTGCTGCGCTCTGCAACACACAAACACACACACACACATATGAGCTTTAGACTATAGAAAGTTTGTTAGTGCCCAAATTAAAGCTTAGAAACGTAAGAATATATATAATTTTTTGTAATTCACCTTTCGATTACAGTTACAGTTGTTTATGTTATAATCTGGTGTTTTGGTTCGAGACGATTACGCAATTAGAAAGCAGAATGAGCCTCACACGAGTATCACATTTCAGTTGCCTGTTTCGATGCTGATATGAAATCCAGTTGGTTTAAAGTAGAAATGGCTCGATATGGATTTTTTTCTGATATTTGGCTTGCTACTGTGGCCGATAATCGATATTTCCAGATACGATTTGGCTTTTAAAATTCATAGCTAGACATATAAAGTGCTTCTATTTCAATTTGTGCTCGTTAGTGTGTTCAAAAAGGGCACAAAGAGAATGGGGAAATGTAATAAATATCAGTATAGAATATCAGTATAGAATAGGAGTGTGCAAAAATATCAAAATATTCATATACTGGATTGTTTAATGTGATATTACTGAATCAAAATCGTGGGCTGCTGTATCGATACATCACCAAGAGTATTTTTGGTATGTTTTACTAAATGATTTTGTTACAGCGCTACAGTTTTGTTGCTTGTTTACAGGAAGGAAACTTCATTTGACATTTTCACAGTTTTGATGATTAAAATGTGTGTGTTTCATATTAACTTTGCACAAGAAGTGGTTAAACAAAGACTTTTAGTATCACAGCCACAATTTAGCCTTTATTTTTTACTGAACTGTATCGAATCGATTTGAAATATATCGTATAGAATCTAAATCTCACTGTATCGAGATATGTATCGTATCGGCAACTTCTTAATGATACCCATCCCTTGAATACAATATCAAAATTTGATGATACAAGCATCAACCAATCAGTGTCGATATCCGATATTGAAACTGAAAACATAGCCCTGCCCTAGTTTAAACCAAGGTCAATATCTAAACCCCAGCCAGTCAGGTTATGAACCAGTGCTAGTGCAGCCTCTGCAGCTCAGGGAGGGAATTCTGGAGGTTCTGAGCTTTCGCATGAGGCCTGTTCATAAACTGAGAATGGGACAAACTTGGATGTGTTTCTATCTGCACGTTAAGACTCTGGAGACACAGGTTCAGTTGTGATTGTAGTGAAGGTAAGATAGAACATAACATTACAAAAAACAATTATCAACATAAAAACAAAACACAAAAACATAGAGCAACACACCTCCTCCATCCCCCAAACACACACACACCATCACAACTTTAATTAAATAAAACAAAAGTAATGTGGTAGTGCAGCATAACCACACTGCTAAGCCCCCTTGTATTGATATTTTGGCCAACTTATAATTTAAACTTCTTTTGTTGTCTGTCTCTTTTATCCCCTAAAAATGTGACTAAAAATAAACATTTTTAGTCACTATACTTAACCAATATTATTTTCACCATCATTTCCTTTTTTCCATCTTTTACTATTTATTACTAATAATTTTAAAGGCATTTTCTTTTTTAAAACGATCCATATTACGCTGTTTTCTGATCAAAAACCGACCTAGAGTTGTGTTTTGTTTTATTCATATACGTTTAAAGACACAAAACCTGCATATTTAGGCCGAGTTTTTCTCTCAAACTGGAAAACACTCTGTTCCACCTTGTGATGTCATGTGGTAATACAGGAACTCCATACATCTTCACTAGAATCATTTGGATCATTTCAGCCCTGGAATTGCCAATCTCTACTCAAGTAAATGTAAAATACAGCTTTTAACTTCAAAAAGACCACTTCATGACATCACAAGGTGGAACAGATTAAGAGTTTGGGAGATTTAGAGCGATTACTCACCATGTGTGAATGAAACAAAACAACTCCAGGTCTGTTTTGAATGTTTTTGAACATGGTTTAAAGCTCACAAGAGTCAATTTTGTGTAATATAACAGCTTCGAAACTGTAAGAGCACAGACTACACAGCTCCTTTAAACTCAAAAAGACATATCGAACATTTTTCTCAGACTATTTTAATGGGTTCATATGACCGCGCAAATGAGCCTCTGGTTAAATATAAATGTATCCTTGTCAACACGTAATCGGCAGCATGTTCAGAGTAGACATAAGCTTATATAAGGCAGCAGAACAAACAGACACAGACACACACACGCACACACGCACACACACACACAGCCAACTGCGCGCACACCCAAAGCACACACAAAAGCACACACAGGAAGTGCAAACATGAGCTGCGTAGTCCGGTCTCTTTAACACAAGAGCCGAGCTGTAACCAGGAGAAGGGCTTTAACCTAACATTTATCTATCAATGTTTAATGGATTACGACGGCCATTTCGTATTTCCATAATTTTATAAAGGGGCAGAGTTTTTAAGTAATAGAAGAAATGGGGGCAGCTGGGCTCATCTCCAAAACTACAAATACACAATATATCACACTAGTATTGATTAGGGATGTAACAATAACCAAAATATCGTGATATCGTATCGTCAAAAGTCTCACAATAATATCGAGGCCTGTCTCTTTGCTTAAATGAATAGTTATGGTGATTTTAATGTCTTTCTTATTCTGTAAAGCACTTTGAATTACTTTATGTATGAACTTTGCTATTCCAGTAAACTTGCCTTGCCTTGGTGCTAGCCTGATTCATCAGTCGGTTTCACTTTGTAGAAACCGACTGACCTCACAGCTTTAGAATTCGTTCGCTCGACGTTAGGCGGGTACTTTTTTTAAATTAACCAATCGCTGCTATTTGGTCGTGACGTAAGTAATGCGCCGCTAACGAAGCAAACTGGTATATTAAGCTTTTCCCAAATCCCGCAGGAAGAAGAGCAATAACGTCTTTCCCCTTGATAAAATTCACCAAACATTCTCTTTGTTCCAGCTTTAAATTCTCGATTTCGGAAATCGTTGACAGCACAGAATGTATGTCTCTTCTCTGATTGGCTGGTGCCCGAACTCTTTCATTTCCAGGGGTTCTTGCAAACAGTCTAGTGTATTCCGATTCCTGGCCTAGTCGCTGGAGAGAAATTAAATTGAGCAGAGGCACTAGGTGGCGCCAGCCTGGCTACCAAGGTGCAGCAATAGCAGAAAACACATTGGAAACTACATAGACCATGATCCTTTGGTGTTGCCGTGCAGACTACAAGAAGAAATAACTTATTAAGCACTTTTAAAATTTAATTCTTCACATTATAACAGTACCAAAGGATTTTCAAGACCTTTCCAAGACTTTTAAAAGTAAAAGTCACATTTTCACAATTTTGTTAGCCTCCACAAAATATCGTAATATTGAACCGTAAGATGCAAAACGTGAAAATATTGTATCGAGGGATTTTGATATCGTTACATCCCTAGTATCGATATCACTTCTAGTACAATGGCTGACGAGATAATCGATATTGTGACAAGTTAAATGTACCGCAATAACGCTGAGTTTCTCCATCTGACAGACAATGGACAAACTAGTTTTAAGGAAGTGCACAGTTAGCATGCTAGTTGCTGTTAGCTGCATTACCGTGATGGCGAAACTTGGCTTTGGAAAGTCGAAAAGTTGCGAAAAGCGCTTATAAACTCATTGCTGTGAATAATTAGGATGCACAAGGTAAGTGAGGAGTAACTTTGGATCACTGCAAACCATTTTAAATAAAATAACTTCTCTTTTTTCATGTTTTTAAGATGGTAAAAATCAGCTACAGTGCCACCTTTAACAGTCAATGCATCTCAAATCTCAATTTTTTGAAGCCCCATCCAAAACCTAAGATAAATGTCGATTCTCTACCAATGTTTTGAAAGAAACTAGTCAAATCTAAATGGTTCTTTCTTCACGTTTGCCGCGTTTGGAGCAATGAATCATGGTCTATGTAGTTTACTGGGTTTTCGCCGTCCAATTACTGTCTACTCTTTAAATGAAAACTACGGCGGTCTCAGTGGGTCAAAACTAAATGAAGGAGCCTCAGACGTCCAAACAGTGTGGACTCGGATGGCCTTATAGGGGAAAAACTGCAGCAGCAAAAAGTACAGTAACCAGCGGGTACATAGTTTATCTGAGATTTACTGGTACGGGCACTAACCTGCAAAAATACGAGAAATTATGCAAGCATCATAGTTTTTCATTTACAGAAATCCAAAATGAGGGGGTGGAAGAGCCGTTAACAACCTTATAAACTAAACGCAAACAAATTAACGTCAAAATTTAATAGTAGATTTTTAAGTGGATATGAAATTGGCATTAAATTTAAGCCCGAAGTATTAAAGGAGACGGATTACGCACGATCAGCTTTTTACAGTTGTTTCCCTTCTCATTTACCCTCTCGAAGTTGTATTTAGAGTGATTTGTGCATATCTGAGTAATCTTCATCATTACTTGTATCTACCCCCATTTTTACCGTCAAAAGTACACGCCCATAGCTCTCTACTTTCTTTGTTCTCCACTTTTATTTTCTTAAATTGGTCATACACGTCGGACTCAGCAGCGTCGTGTAGCCATTTTGGTACAAAATTATTATTATTATTTTTAAAAATTCTGGTACTATGTTTTTTTACTTTGTTCCCCTTTTCATTAAATGTACATGTTTTGAAAGTCTGGCAAGTATAGAGAGACTTTATGTTGTGCTTTCTTACATTTTAAAATACTCAAATAAAGTAACTAAATCTAGAATGAGGTACGCTGTTGTAAGGGCGTGCAGTTAATCGAATTTTGACCGCGAAGATCTACATACTGAAACGATTTAAAGCTTAACAAAGTTTTTTTTCTCATTTTTTAAATATAGAGATTGTAGAACAGCTAGATATACTATTTAATTTTAGATACATTTATGTTTTTCTGTGCCTTATTTCATGTTCAAAGTATATTTTTTAATTCATTTTATGTTTTATACATCGCAAAACTGCTCTAAAGTACGTATTTGTAACCTATATTTATTTTCAATTTAAAAGTTTTGCGGAAATTATCAATAACAAAGTGTAACAAAATAATCGTG